AGATATTTGAAAAATTATTTACTGAAGCTTCTCTCAATATCAAGCTTTCAGTAAAGATTATTTTTCCATTATCTCGCACCTGCAGCTGTGTGCAGATGGCTATGATGTCACAAACTCTTGTGTCAGCTGACCCCGCTGTCCGGAGGCGTGGCTTCAAGCTGGAGTACTTTCTGCGTCCACCTGTACAGGTAAGATGAAGCTATCGTACTTTGGTTCAATTGTTAAATGAGAGTTCTCATCTAACTCTTGGCAAGAAATTGATTAAAACACCTTAAAAGATAATTGCATGTAGTCTTACATATGAAAAGGTCAAAGTCTGACCGGTGCGGACAAATGTGGCCACTTCTGAGGGTTACCACGTCCTTTTGATTTGAATAATTAAATCTTTGAAAAGAGAATTTGGGAATCTTCTTTTTTTTCTCATTGTCTCTTCCACTTTGAGGCTGGTATGTGTCTGAAGCATGTGTCTGATCATCCTGTCTCACAAAGGGGGCTACACTCAATCTCATATTTTCAGAAAAATGACAAAAATTAATGGCATTCCAGTCTGCAGACATTAATGACTGTAATTGATAAATTAATGTCCACTTTTTTTTGCTCCATTCTTTCAGGTGACGTTGAAGTTTGGCTTCCAGGTGGAGCTTCTGCAGGGTGGATGTGGAGCTGTGCCCTGGGGTATGGACCGCGGACAGGCCTGCAAGAGGCTGGAGATCAGCACCAGCTCTGATTCACTTGCTTCGCAGAATTTTAGTCAAGGCCACAAGCAGTTGATCAAAAGGAACAAGTGCAGATAAAGGACCAGAGTGAACAGAACAAAAATAACGAGAATATGACAGTAAATCTTGCCAAGAGTAATGGCCACCAGTGGAGTCTTCAGGCCCAACAATGGGGTGCGAGACTCTAGATGGGCGTCAACATAAAGGGCATACATACAAGAGGCAGATGGCCAAAGAGCACACCTCAAACAAATGCTGAATCCAGCCAACCTGAGGCAGAGTTTTAGACTGGTAGGTCGTTGTGAACTTAAAGAAGAAACCCAAGTCTGTTTTTTTCGCGTTCGAATTTTAGTCCCCGGCCTCCATTCCTCTCTCCACCCCCTCCACAACCTGCAAACTGTCGGCAAGAGGAGCTCTGGAGCCGGGGTCTGCTCTCGTTGGGCGCTGTGACGCAACTTCGTGTGACTGTGCCATTTGCGGTGCAGCATCGGCTTTGGGGCTCAAGGCTTTGACCGTGTGGGGACAGCCTGCTCGCTGCTGCCCTGCAGAAGACGTGGAGAGGATTAAAAGTGTCCATGAGGCCAGTGTAAGACAGCTGCCACGAACTGTATTTTTTGCCCCCTCTGTCAGACAAAGAACCAACCACTGCAAGCAGCCACACCTCCAAGGTATGTTTGTGAAGCAATCTTTTTGTTCAATCTGATTCTTGTTGTAGAATAAATTAAAGTATAAAATAACAAAAGTTATTAGTTTTCTAACATGATAACCATCTGCTGGCTTTTTGTCCGACTCCAGCAATCTTTCCATCCCAGAAGAGTTTCCTTGACCCAATAACCCAGGAAGTAATGACGCTGCTATGCTGCTGCCCGGTGGTGTGTCAGTGGACAACACCACTCTGGAGGAGTACCAGAAGAGGGAGGCCACTTGTTCGTAGCATTTGAGAGCAGGTCAGGTGTGTATTCTGACATTTTTTTCATTGTCTCCTGTCTCAATGCTGTACACTATCCATTAAAGGCAAAAAAAAAAAAAAAAAAAAAAAACTCTTTATAGATATTTGAAAATTATTTACTGAAGCTTCTCTCAATATCAAGCTTTCAGTAAAGATTATTTTTCCATTATCTCGCACCTGCAGCTGTGTGCAGATGGCTATGATGTCACAAATCTTGTGTCAGCTGACCCCGCTGTCCGGAGGCGTGGCTTCAAGCTGGAGTACTTTCTGCGTCCACCTGTACAGGTAAGATGAAGCTATCGTACTTTGGTTCAATTGTTAAATGAGAGTTCTCATCTAACTCTTGGCAAGAAATTGATTAAACACCTTAAAAGATAATTGCATGTAGTCTTACATATGAAAAGGTCAAAGTCTGACCGGTGCGGACAAATGTGGCCACTTCTGAGGGTTACCACGTCCTTTTGATTTGAATAATTAAATCTTTGAAAAGAGAATTTGGGAATCTTCTTTTTTTTCTCATCTGTCTCTTCCACTTTGAGGCTGGTATGTGTCTGAAGCATGTGTCTGATCATCCTGTCTCACAAAGGGGGCTACACTCAATCTCATATTTTCAGAAAAATGACAAAAATTAATGGCATTCCAGTCTGCAGACATTAATGACTGTAATTGATAAATTAATGTCCACTTTTTTTTTGCTCCATTCCTTTCAGGTGACGTTGAAGTTTGGCTTCCAGGTGGAGCTCTGCAGGGTGGATGTGGAGCTGTGGCCCTGGGGTATGGACCGCGGACAGGCCTGCAAGAGGCTGGAGATCAGCACCAGCTCTGATTCACTTGCTTCGCAGAATTTTAGTCAAGGCCACAAGCAGGTTGATCAAAAGGAACAAGTGCAGATAAAGGACCAGAGTGAACAGAACAAAAATAAACGAGAATATGACAGTAAATCTTGCCAAAGTAATGGCCACCAGTGGAGTCTTCAGGCCCAACAATGGGGTGCAGAGACTCTAGATGGGCGTCAACATAAAGGGCATACATACAAGAGGCAGATGGCCAAAGAGCACACTCAAACAAATGCTGAATCCAGCCAACCTGAGGCAGAGTTTAGACTGGTAGGTCGTTGTGAACTTAAAGAAGAAACCCAAGTCTGTTTTTCGCGTTCGAATTTTAGTCCCCGGCCTCCATTCCTCTCTCCACCCCCTCCACAACCTGCAAACTGTCGGCAAGAGGAGCTCTGGAGCCGGGGTCTGCTCTCGTTGGGCGCTGTGACGCAACTTCGTGTGACTGTGCCATTTGGCGGTGCAGCATCGGCTTTGGGGCTCAAGGCTTTGACCGTGTGGGGACAGCCTGCTCGCTGCTGCCCTGCAGAAGACGTGGAGAGGATTAAAAGTGTCCATGAGGCCAGTGTAAGACAGCTGCCACGAACTGTATTTTTTGCCCCCTCTGTCAGACAAAGAAACCAACCACTGCAAGCAGCCACACCTCCAAGGTATGTTTGTGAAGCAATCTTTTTGTTCAATCTGATTCTTGTTGTAGATAAATTAAAGTATAAAATAACAAAAGTTATTAGTTTTCCTACAATGATAACCATCTGCTGGCTTTTTGTCCGACTCCAGCAATCTTTCCATCCCAGAAGAGTTCCTTGACCCAATAACCCAGGAAGTAATGACGCTGCCTATGCTGCTGCCCGGTGGTGTGTCAGTGGACAACACCACTCTGGAGGAGTACCAGAAGAGGGAGGCCACTTGGGGTCGTGCCCCGAACGACCCCTTCACTGGGGTCCCGTTCACTTCAAACTGCCAGCCTCTTCCTAACCCCCAACTGAAAACCCGCATCGATCACTTCCTCCTGCAGAGAGGGGAGGTGAGGAGGGACGGGATGTTGGGGAGACAAGGAGAGGGAGAGAATCCACAAGCCTCAAGACTTATACCCTCCAAGGTAGACGGACAGTCCCAGAACTCTACGTGTCTCAGCAAAAGCTCAATAACCAATACTTCTATTCAATATAATGCTGGAACTAGAAACACAAAAAAAACTGCACAGATAGAAGACACTGGATTAGGACATTCATCAGATAATGGGAATCATACAACTAACTCCCAGCCTCTTACTACAGATGGTGAATCAGAGTTAGATAGAAGGAAGAAACGAGGTCTAAGTGGAATTTCTAAAGAGTCAACAGAAGAGTTGACAACTGAGAAGCAACTACTACCTCAAACAAAAAGACCAAGAAATGCTGCGGTTTCAGGTGAGTATGATATTTTCTTTAAGAATAACATCTTACAACATATCTGTATTGTTTTCCATGTGTGCGTTTTATCTTTTTTTCCTGCTGACTTGTCAACATTTGCTCCTTCACTATTCCACTCCAGCCCCCAGCTGCAGCTCCCATGAGGAGCGTTTGTCGGCAAGCCTGGATGAAGCCCTTTTCTCTGCCCTGCAAGGCAGACCATCCTTCACCTCAAACTTGTCTCAGCAGAGACGGGTTACTCCTGACTCTGAGCCAGCGAAAACCACACAGCAGTGCCAGAGTTCAGGCTCTCCGAGTGTCTGTACAGGTAGGATTGGTGTCAGTTTGGATTAATTCAGTTTGAATGGATTCAAATGGTGATGCATAACACTGAAAAAATGCAGAATTAATTAGCAAAAACACCGAACCAGGTCCCAATCCCACACCATCCAGCAAGACTCTCAACTGTGAGAAATGTGCACAGTTCTGGTACTTTGTTAAGTGAACAAAATATTTCCTCTGTTTACCTTGTCATCATTTCAACTAAAGATAAGTGATTGCTATCATAACATTTTAGAGTTGTGAAGTCTTTCCTTATGGTATGATAAACCACTGTTCACTGTTTTGGCATCTGATAAGCTGTCACACTAATGGATCTATTATCTAAACTATAATTATTTCATGTGTCACCGGTACCCCACACCACACGCCCCACCTTTGCAGCTCTTAAGTGTTGTTTTAACTGCTGTCATAGCTTACTCAGTGGTTAGCCTAATGCTGCACTTCCTGTAAACAATATGGAATATAGGCTTCATAAAGTTTCAGAAAAAAATCCCTTTTTAAATTTCTCTGTTCATTTTTACACTAACAGAAACCTGGATTGGACAACATTCATCACAGTTAGAAGACATGTTTTTTTCTGAACATAGTGCAAAGTGCAAAATACTTGACTCAATCATTGGTGAGAGGCATTCTGGGGTGCTGGAAATCAGAAGATCTAGTCGGTAGATAAGAGATAAGGGTAAGGTAAGAGAAAGGGGGATAAACCAAAGACTGAATTAACAACACATAAAAGAAATGTACAGACAGACACAAAGTAATGACTTTATGACTGCATGAGTCTTTGAAATAGGAAATTGTTATTTGTATAATGTTGAAATTAAAATACATTTTTATTTAATTTTTTTTTTTCCCTCACATTTGCTTTCTAGGTGAGAAGACATGCTCTGCGTGTTCCTGTTCAGTCTCTGCTTACTCCACGTCTGTATCATCCATCTATCGTCTAACCTGTAGTCACTTGCTCTGCCATGCCTGCCTGCGGAGGCAATCAAATCGGCTAAACTTAGTCACTGCAGTAACATCCAGTCACATCTTGTGTCCCGCCTGCCAAAGCCCTACCCCACGCAGTGACATCATACGTGTGCATCACTGACAGATGGAGTAAAAAGACAAAGTTACGAACTTCAAAAGTCTGCCAGGAAATGAGGAGGATTGTTGTCAAGGTGAAAACAGGGTTGTACTCCAGATGTGGCGTTGTGACCGTGTTGAACTCAAAATGAAGAAAATATAGAATATTTTGTATTAATTCTTATCCATGTGCGTTACCAAACACTGAGGACTTCAAGTCTAGCACTGTGTTATATTCCTTAGACTTGCCTTGGACCTGTGGCGTAACAAAATCAGATTATACAGACCAAACAGGTTTTTAATGTCCACAGCTGAAGAAAGGACATCAGTGAAAGGAAAGACCTTTTGTAAAATCTTGCATTTGAGAATGTGAAAAATATATATATAAATATATAAAAGTCTTGTCCTCATCTCTTCCACCCCCTCTTCCCATCTTAGCCTTTTCATTCAGCATTGAAGTCTAGTTGCAGCCTTGGTTCAGCAGCCTTTGTGGAGACCCTGGATGTGTTGAGGATGCACAAAGAAAAAGGTTGAGGGACAGAAGTACTGAGAGCAACAGGCCAGAAGAATTAATCTCCAATCGAGTCCATCCAAGGTTGTGTGGTCATTGTGCAGAAACAGACGGGGTCTTGCTTAGCTCAGCTGACGTCCTGATGCCATGTCCTTATCTCAGACCCCTCCCTTCTATCTTTCTTCACTTTATTCACCACTTTACACTCTTTACACTCCCTACACTCTTGCTTAGGTTTAGAGGGTAAAAACAGGCAGAAAATGTAATGATGAGGAATTATTGGATCTGACTATGTACAAATTTTTTATTATGTTTTTGGTGTGTTAATATTAAACTGTATCTGCTTCCATGAATTCCCACAGTGGCAAATGTTCATCAGGTAGCATTAAAAGGTGTAGTGTTAGGAAAGAAAATGACAATGTTTCCTGGCTGAGACTACATGTCCTCCTGAGTGTCCTTGCCCACATATTTGCTTTCTGCCTCTTAACACTTCACCCTAACCGTCTCTTGCAAGTGTGTTGTGTGCACAAAAGGGCTAAACAGAGCAAAGTCAGGAAAAACAGTTTTTATTGGGCTTTACAATCACAAACGGCATAATTTAAATGTTGGTCTCCCTGACAACATCAACCTTAACCAAGGTCATGATCCTGTATCCGCCCAATAAACAAAGACTGGAATCAGTTCTGCATGTGAAATCGGGACATCAGCTTCACTGTTTCAGCTACAAGTAGGAGATAAATCACTTAAATGATACACAATCAGACTGTGTGTTTGGGTGTCTTTTCTGTTTTATACATGGTACAGGTAATGTAAAAGAAAATATTAATCCACCCTCAAAATAATTCTATTTCAGTTCTTGTAAAAAATTTAAAAAAAAAAAAAAGATTTAATACAGGAATCAGGAGTTTTTTTCTATATGTTAGAGGAACTGTTTTTAGATAATTTCTTATTTCATGTTGTTGAGGAGTGCAGTAACGCATAATAAGACCATATTTTGTGTTTATTGAATGACAGGGCTTGAATGCTCTGGTACTAATTAAAGAACTCCTTCACACTTTCACCTTCTGCCTCTGATGCTCAGTTTTACCATTTATCACTTACTTGTTAATCAGCATCACAGCAGCTAATAGGTGAGATAAAATCCTAAGCATGCAACAAGACACTAAACAGAATAATAAGCTCAAAATATTTATGTTTATTGCAAATGCTAATCCTGTTATGCTCATTAATAGTTTTAAATCACGCCAGGGGAATAATTTGTGTTGTTTTGTGTGGTCATGATGCTGTCACAGTCTCTTCAGGTGACAAAAGTTAAAAATGTCTGCTATACAGTGATGAGCAGTGACTAGTTTCACAGCTGATCTGTACATGATCATCATGAGATGTACTTCATTAGTGCAGTAAATCTAATTAGTTGTCCACAATCTCCAATTAAGCTAGTTGTTGATGTGCCATTTTTTTTTAAATGTGCGCCTGCCCTCCCGCCTTCAGAAAAGTTATTTCAAATAAGTTATTTCAAATAAGTGTGGCGCAGAATACAGAAAGACCATCTTCTGCTGCCATTGTTGTGTTCTTGTGTACATTTGTTAGATGGCACACATCTGATGCAGAGCCATATCCGCAGCGACCCCTCGCGCGCCGGTGGCCTTCGGGCGCGCGTGCGTGTGGAGAGCAGAACACTACACGACACTGACGTCAGATGCGGGTGTCAGTCGCTTTGTCTGATCCATGTCCGCCCGCTTATAAGTGAGGAATCGACCGGGACATCGGTCAGACATCAACCCCCACCCTAAACAGGCGGAGGCGCTCATCCAAAAACCAGCAGCGATGCCTCACTCCTTGTTCCCGCTGTGCGTCCTGGGACTCCTTGCCCTCTCCTCCGCCTGTTACATCCAGAACTGCCCCCGAGGAGGGAAACGAGCGCTGCCGGAGACGGGGATCAGACAGGTGAGGACCATTATCCTCTCTGCTTTCTTTTGGGATGTCACCTTTGACTTTTTCAGATTTCTTAGATTGGAAATTTCTCAAGTTGCCTTTGAGTCTATTCTGATTATATATAAAGTAATTTAGCTTTAAAGTAAATTCAAAATATAAAATAAATGATTGTATAAATGTAATATCAGTGGTTTAGGGGATTGGGTTCATATGTGTAAATAACAACCCATACATTTTACACACTAAAAACTAAACAAAATGGTAAGAACCGTAATAAAAGTCAGTTATGATAGTAATAACAATGTTGTATAATTGTATAAGGTATGTTAAGGACAAGGTTTTTCCAAAAGATAAAACACTGCAGCAAATTGAGCTTTTTAGGAGCGTAAAATAAGACAAACATATTCACTTTAAAAATATATATATATGATAAACATATGTATAATCTTATAAGAGAAACAAAAACTGCCTGGTGTGATGCATTTCAAGTTTTTTTTAATTCCTTCTTTTCTCATGATTTCTGGTGTGGAAGCAACTTAAAAGACACATTAGAAATATATGCAAACACTAAAGTGAGATGAACAGACACAGTATTTTCAGAATCAGCTTTTTGGCTAATACCATGCCCATTACCATGTTGATTGAATGTGAGGGAAGGAATTCTCTGAGCATTAAGAAAAACGCAATGAAATGAAATGGCAAAATGAGTATTTCTGCAGTCAGACAACCTATCAACAGAAGAGTTTGACTGGACAATGCCAAAGTAAATGTCACAAAAAAAGTGACTGGATTAAAGCACCTGATTATGCTTAAATCTATTAATTTCTCCTCCAGTGCATGTCTTGTGGCCCCAGTGACAGGGGCCGCTGCTTCGGCCCCAGTATCTGCTGCGGGGAGGGCCTCGGCTGCCTGCTGGGCTCCGCAGAAACAGCTCACTGTGTGGAGGAGAACTACCTGCTCACCCCCTGTCAGGCAGGAGGGAGACCCTGTGGATCTGAAGGAGGACGCTGTGCTGCTTCAGGACTCTGCTGTAGCTCAGGTACATTCTACTCTGATTGTATCTGTTTGTCATGGTTAGTGGAGTTAATAGGTCTACTATAGTATGAACTATTCCATAGCCAGTGTCGATAAAGTTCCTTTCCTTTCTTTTCTTTTCCTTTCCTTTCCTTTCCTTTCCTTTCCTCTCCTCTCTTCTCCTCTCCTCTCCTCTCCTCTCCTCTCCTGTCCTCTCCTCTCCTCTCCTCTCCCCTACTCTCTCTTCTCAGAGAGCTGTGCGGTGGACTCTGACTGCCTGGGGGAGACCGAGGCCTCAGATCCAGCCCACAGCTCTGCAGGGAGCTCACCTGCAGAGCTGCTGCTCCGCCTGCTGCACGTGGCCAGCAGAGGACAGACTGAGTACTGACACTGTATCCGTGGAGGTTCCTCTGCTCCTCAGGTTCTGGAGGTGCAACAGAAATGCAGATCGTCTCTGTTCCACTATCAACCTTGAGATTCAAACCTTGAACCAATAAAATACCAAGTCAAACTTTGTTCTCTCTTAAACCTTTCTGCTATGCTGATGCTGTCAAGACGGTATGCCGTCACAGATAGAGAACTATCTTCAACTCGTTTACTGATTGGCTACTTCTATCCAAATCCGGGGGTCAAGGAATCATAGTAACCGATATGAAACATTAGATTTCATGTTTGTTTCCACCCTAGAAATGTATATACTAATGCACATACTGTAAACAATGTTTGATCTATATGAAGGAAATTAGACACCTCAGTGCTCCAGTTCCAATGAGTGAGTTTTAGAAGAAAACACTGTAAATAAGTCAGAGACTGGAGATAAATGTTGCTATAGACATCCATGTGTAACAGCTGAATGATAATGCTTGAGCAGCTACTTCTTGTGTATTAGAAATGGTATTGTACATTGAAAATGGAAAAAACAATACAGACTGTATCACTGCCAAAAAGAGCTTCTGTTGTCTGTTCTGTTCTCATTATCCCCAGGCTCAAAAATAATTACACCTCTAACTGATGACTCACTGAAACTTTACCCACCACCTGTGTGTGTGTGTGTGTGGTGTTGTGGTTGTGGTGTGTGGTGTGTGTGTGTGTGTGTGTGTGTGTGTGTGTGTGTGTGTGTGTGTGTGTGAGAGAAAATGTGTAAAAGAAAGTGAGTAAGTGTGTAAGGAATGTATCCCAACACAGATAACTTTCGTCTTATTTTTCCCAGAAGACACAGTCTGTTTGGATGCCGCCATTTAATTTGCAGCAAACTATATCGAATGTTAATACTGATACAGTATGAGGGTCAAGTAGGGACAACAAAGCTTGGGCTTTTTGATGCTTAAAGTCACGTTGATGTCAAAGGTGATTGTTGTAAATCATTTATTGAGTGATCCAGATCACACCTTAGTTGTTGCGCCAATAAAATAAATTGACAGTGTCAGTGGCCCTTTTATTCATCTCCTTCAAGCACACAACCTTCTCTGCTGTGTATCAACATGTCTAATTTGTGTAGACGAAGGAAAGTGAATTCCAGTCGTCATTATCCTTTTGTGTGATGATTGAAAGCTGATGCCTCTGCCAGGGCTGATGGCAGCTTTGCCTGTGATGTCCTTCAGATTCGCTTGGGACAGGATCCCAGGACCTCCCAGATTTTGACAGTTAACTGTTACTTGTTGTGACATCAATAACCTTTATGTTGATTATTCAGTCATAAATCTTGATGATTGCATTTTTTTCCTTTCATTTTCAAAATCAATCACTGCACCCTGTATAATTGTTTATTTCCAGTTAATGTTGCAGCAGTGATGTAGACTGTAAATGAATATAAATGCACATGATCACCTAGTAGACTCAAACATAATGTGTAGACTTTAGTCATTTAAAATAGTTAACAGCTAGCACTGACCACTTTGGGCCCAGAATGGCACATTTCTATTTCAACAACTATTTGATGGATTGCCATGAAATTGAGTAAAGACATCTGTGGTTCCTAGAGGACGAATCTAAATGACTGTGGTCATTCCAACCTTTCCTTCTGTTTTTTAATTTTACAGAGATGCCTTTATATATAAATACAGGATGGAATGCCATAATATTCAATACAGATATTTAGTTCCCAGAGGATTTATCCAACAGACTTTGGTGATTCCCTGACTTTTCCTCATTCACCACCGGCACGTTCACATTTATGGTTTTAAGTTAAATGTCTCAACAAGTATTACATGGATTATCATGAAATTTGTTACACATATTCATACCCATGTCAGGATTAACTGTATATCTTTATTGATCCCTTAACTTTTGGCATAGCACCCTCACTGGATTTTAATTTGTCCTTTGGTTGCAAAGCTAAAATTAGCTATTTTGTGTACCACAGTGTCTAAGTGCAGCTTCACAGAGCCACAGCCAGGGCTGGTTTTATGAATGGAAACGTGCTGGTCTGTCTGTCAAAATCAGCTTAGCAACAAGAAGGCAGATTTCTTCTTTTCCTTCATACAAAATCCAATATTAAAACCTTTAAATGGATAAAGCAAGCTGTCGGTTTTTAATTTTGATAAGGCTTCCAGTGTAGTCAAACCAGACCACAGTAGCTTGTTTTAAAGACCAAAACTTTAAAGATAGAAGGAAAGAAAGAAAAAATGAAGAAAAATTAATTTACAAACAACCTGTACTACTTGCTCAGACAGGAGGAAGTCTTGTGAATGGAAGGCTTTACATGGGACCAGGTATTTAGTGTTGCATGCTCAAAATGGAAAACCAAGCCAGACATCACACAGAGACGGTTTTGATGTGTCTGCTACCACATCACCAACTTTCCCAGTTACAAAATAAACAGCGATGAAGTCAGTCTGTCCTTTGCTTTACCAGAAAAACTCCCTTGGGGGGAAGTTAGATTTTTTTTTTCATTTTTTATTATCTTGTATGTTTGCACGCTCAGTGAATTGCACAACATGCAACAAATGTTAGAAAGCCACACCTGAGCACACAACGCATGAGAAATGTTTTCTCGACCGCAGTGTTAAGTCAACATAATATCTTGTCAACAGATTCAACATCGATTCAACATCGCTTCATTTATGTCAATTAAGCCTTTATCAGTATCTGCAATGTTTTGCTCTACAAGAATTTGTTGCCAAAAGTCAGATTTAATTTTGCCATCATTGGTAAATTCTTCTTGGTATTTTTTTTTTCTGTTCAAAGGTTAGGGCCATCATCAGAACTCTGTACTAATATAAATGAATGAATATAAAATGTGATACGTCTTATTTCTTTCATTTTTACGTTGATGTTTGACTGAGCTGCATCACTTTGCTTAAACAACCTTAATGAAGTTTCGATATGACCTCAATTGTTCAACTGTGACCTTTATTCTATCTTTCATTACTCTGGGTGTGGAAGTTTCAATTGGTTTCAATCTGTCAAATAAGGTCCTGTGAAAAGTGTGGTTATTAAACCTGTCGGAGCCTGTCCAAGTGGAACATACCTGTACAACAAACTCATCCGGCACCAACGGTTTGAACAAACAGTCAACTTATTACAATACAGTCTTATTTCAGTACAGGCTATGTTACTTCATCATCACTCTTTTAAAACGTGGGGTAAACAGGCGTGTGTTTGTGTGTGTGTGTGTGTGTGTGTGTGTGTGTGTGTGTGTGTGTGTTTAGTATTTAAGCAGCAAGGACAGACTTCCTCTGCTCATTTTCTCTGCCATCATGGATCTGCGAGTTGCGTTCGTGATTGTCTGTCTGTGTGCTTTGGCCATCACCTCCACTGAAGGTAAGGACCTTTCTCTCTGACTCTGACAAATTCACATGTTAAACCAAGAAAACACTTGTACTGAATCAGTTTTATGTGTTTATAAGACATGTTCGTGCATTTACATAAGTGTATATTTTTGGAAAAGTACAGGCTCCGTATGGTGCAAACAAATAAAAATAAAAACATATTGTACTGTTGTAAACAGTTACAGAGCTGTTGATATTTATGTTCATTTTGCATGTGTTATAGGAAAGCAGAGGGTGTAGATAATAGTAACCAACCGGTTGGTTTATTATTCACCTTCCAGCTGCTTTTTTCATGTCATTTAGTCTCAGCATGTTAACTTTCAACTCATGCTTGCGATCTATTGCTTTCCAACATTCTCACCACTGCTCTTAATCTCACATTGTAGCTGGCATCCCAAAATGCTGTGTCAGAACAAGGAACATCAATAAGCATATACTGATGAAGGTGGAAAGGTTGTATGAACAGAGGAGCAACGGCGCCTGTGACATCTCTGCACTGATGTAAGTGGTGAGGATCAACAATGAGCCTCAGTGATTATGGAGTTATCACATGCTTCATTATGATTATTCATTCATATCTTTATTCATACATCATCTATGCAGTCTGAACTTGGTAAAAAAGTCTATACATGAGCTAATACCTTTACTGTTACTTCCAGTTACATATACATGCTTTACATTTTTGCCATCATCTGTAACTGAAACATATTTTCTTTCTCTGTGTGTGTCCGCAGACTTTACATAAAGGGCAGTAAGAAACCCATATGCGCTCCTCTCAAGCTGAAGGCAATCCTGGAAAGGCTTCTGTGGATGAAGAAACAGAACAAGCTAACTCTGAGATGATGAGATGGAATGAAAAATCTCTTCCCAATATACCTGTGTGTCACGTTTTCTAAAGCTGGTGTTTTCAAGAGATTGTGTCATACAGAGGATCTCTTGGTGGTTTTTTTTCATCGATTGTGTGGAGGGCACTGTTCTGTACTTCATGTTGCTGGATTTATTCTGTATTTCGTAATAAGAAATATTGTCATGTAAACTGAGATGTGGAGAAAAATATGAAATATGACAAATAAGAGTGATCACCTATAGATGGAACTTTATATCTGTGAGGAATCTAAATATTATAGTAGATTAATCTTGGGAATGTAACTCTACGTTTTTATAGAAATGAAAGTAAAATGGACTTGGAAATTTCCTTGTTTGGTCTTGTCCTCTGATGATGACGAAACCCAGATCAGATCAAAAGGCATCACACCTGATGCCAACTATTGTGAAGAAGTGAAAAGCAACATTTAAATAATCCAAGACTGAAAGAAATTAGCAGGAATTGTGCACAAATGCAGACATTAAAAAAGGAGGATTTGGACCGGAAACTAGTCTTCTGTTTCTCCTTAGGCAGCATCCAATGCTTTCCCGGTTTCATTCATGAACAATTAGTAAGTTGCCTTTATGCAAATCCCTATTGTAATTCCTGCAACTACGGCAGTTACACAGTATACTGATTCTGTGGTCATTTTGGAGTCAGGTGACATCTTATCAAAATCCAAAAGTGCCAAAGTAAAAGTCAAATAAAAGATATGTTGATGAAGAGGCAAAATCAAAAATAAAGAATATGGTCTAGACCTGCTATATAAAAAGGTCCCCTGGGATAACTTCTGTTATGCCATATAAACAAAATTTGATTTGACTTGATGTGACTGAATAAATTTGGGTGAACATGAATTCACTGGTTCACTACTCCATTCACAATCACGTCATCAAGCTATATATCAGGCTAAGGCCTAAGGCATTAGACTGTTATGATAATGAATAACTCATCTAGTCATAAAGGCAAAAAAACACCTACAGCAGATCACTGTAATCTGCCTTTCAGTCATTCCGGCTCTTAAACGTACAACCTTTCTCATACGCTAGTCAGAGCAAGTTCCTCCAGTGGCAGTTTGTCAGTGAGCTCTCTTCTTCTACCACACAAATATGATTTTAATTTCCTTCATCAGAGACATGAGGTTAAATCCAAACAGCTGAAAAGACAATTAGGCTCCATGACATCAGCTACTGTGTAAGAAAAGATATTGAGGAAACAAACAAGATGGTTTCAGATGGGGCCACAGAAAAAGTCACCGTTACACACTCAAAAAAACATCTCACAGCTATTTACCTTTTGCCCTCCTGTCGGCAGCCTAATCATCTGTTGTCATATTTCTCTGCTCACTGATTCATCAGCTCACAAACTGCCAGAAACATTTGGCAGAGGCTCATCTCGCCTCAGAGGGCAGTAAAGCTGATCAAAGACGGATCATTTTTGCTCAAACAGTCAAAGTGAGGCAGGTAAAGCTGAAGGAGACATTTTGCATGTGGTCACCCGCCACTGTGTCAGGTCCAGATGTTTTCTTTTACACTGTGAAGACTTCACAATTCAATAGCACCCTCTAGTGGAAATACTGACAGGACAGAGAAACAAGTGTGCTAATAAAGTTCTGTTCAACCCTAAGTCTGACAGTTGAGTCTAAACTAATCCCCTGCAGATTCCTCAGGGATGCCAAAGTGAGTGTGTTCATAAACAGTAGCGCCCTGGCAATAGAATAGCAAATGTTTGTCTAGTGATGTACTTGGCATAGCTATCAGGCAACTGCAGATGCCCACACAAAGCAGCACCACATTCTGGATACAGTACTTCCTCCTTAAACACTGCTCAGGAAACTGGCCCCAAAATTAAACTCAATCCTTCTGGCTTTAGTAAAGCTCATCTTGGCTGTCAGATACTTTGTCACAGCACTTGACTCTAGTAAATGCCTCACTGAGGATCAGCAAGAATCGCTGCCAAGTAGCTGTCATATACAGAATGAGGTGTTTGACTTTCAGCATGTTCGAGTCTCAGACTTTGTTTTGTTAAACCATGCATATAGATATCGATCTCACATTTCTATTGATGACTGACCATGGGTGATGTCTTCTTCAACAGAGTGTTTTCTTATCAGCATATTCACCTCAACTAATTTTTTTTTCAACAGGCAGATCTGTTGAGCAACAGCTTACAATGAAATTTCTGCTCAGACTGCTGACTCTAGCAAACTACATTCAAGTAAAGCATTTTGTCTTGCAATCAGCAGATTTATGGGTGCAGCGTACTCCAGCAGACAGTTTGACTGAACGTGCTTTGCCCACTTGCCTATGGAAGCGTGACAACTATTCTTTGTCTGATAGTGTTTAACTTGGCATAGTCATCAGAGAGCTGTTCAGACTAAAGCTGAGCAGAAATGTGCTGCACAAATGTCATTATATGAGTAACGGTCTACTAGTCTAGTCTTGTCTACTCTACTAAAGATATAAAAACATACAGTTATGTGTCTGTTGGAATACAGTTAGTGGGTTCGTTTCTGCCATTAATGCTCTTTTAAAGGCTTCACATTGTAGAAAGTGACATTTCAGTTTCTTTTTTATTATAAAAAAGTGCTATATAAATAATTTGAAAGTATCAAAGCGCTCAGTCCACAGATAAATGTACACAGCACGTATTCAGAAACTGTGAACTGTCATGACTTCCATAATTTTGTGATGTCACAACTATACAGTCACCACTCTCAGCTGTGTCCCTTGTAAGGCCCACCTGGATTTACCATCCAACCTCATAGGATTAGGTCTCTCTGTGTGTTTACCTGAAATCTGCTATACTTATATATTATATTTTGGTACTTAAAAATAAAAAATATAAATAAATATTTCTTATTATGGATATAAAAACTTGTAAAATATGGGACCTTTAATATTTGTTTTTAACAGAAAATGACTGTATACTGTGTGTTATATATGCTTAGCTTTGTTTAAAACGCAACCAAACCTCGACAGAAGTTTGTATTTGTAAGCTATAAATCACATAAGGTACTTTGTACAACATTATACATAATGGGAAACAGCAGTTGATTATTTTTTGTAATATGTTTTTTTACATTCGAACATGCGAGTAACTAATATGATACATGTGCTGCAGTTTAAACTACCCGTCAGTGTTTTATTTGCAGCACCTGGATCACACAACAGTAAAATTTTATCTACACATTAATGAATGACTAATTTTAGACTACGAGTCCATTCTTCATAACAAATACTTTTACTTTGAAAATGCATATACAGTTTTACTGATATCCCACTGTCTAACACTGTATCGTACTGTATAAATCTATATAAAATTTGAATGCAGGCCTTTTACTTGTAATCAAAACTTATGTGTAATACTATATGTAATATTTGCTCATTATGATTTTGTTTCTATTTTTACTTAATAAATATTCCATCACTGAAATTCTGCAAAATGCATTCCAAATAAATAGCCTTCATACATCTTACCAACTTAGGGCTTTATTTTGAAACTATAAACTCTAAAACGTATGCTTCAATTATTCTATGTTAATGTATTTTATATTATTTTATTGCACCATTAAGTAGTAATTAGGCTTAATAACCTCTAAAAAAAGGGAAAACACTAGTTCTACTTCCCTTCTGAATTATGTAATGGTGCGGGGACCGCCCACCTGTCCCTTCTTCCTGTGTGGGCGTTGACAAGTGGTTGACAGGAAACACCAGCAAAACTTGCCGTTAAACCAGGAATTACTTCGCCACAGAAAAATAAAGTATTTTTCTAAACTATTAGGTGTTATATAGTGGCTCATAATGTCCACCAATGCCTTTCAAGAAACTGTTGAACACTCTGGACTGCACAAGTTCTTCTCTGCTGTGTTTTACGCCGGCAGCTCCTTTCTGATCACGGTGGTGAACAAAACCGTGCTGACGAGCTTCAGGTAGGTGGCGCTTTGTCGTCAGCAAATCAATCATACAGTGTCAATAGATCGGACTAACTGACGTCCTCCTCTCACTCTTCTACTGTTTATGTGTTGGCTTTGCAGGTTTCCCTCCTACATGTGTCTGGGAATTGGCCAGGTAAGATGTGCAGGTGTGGATGTTTGTTTCTCTCCGTTTCTCTGTCTGTCACAATAACCCACACTCATGGTCACTTTGGTGCTTTCAGATGGCCGTCACTGTTGTTGTGCTTTATGCTGCCAAAAAGACCAAAACAGTCCAGTTTCAAGATTTTGACAGAAGTGTTCCCTTAAAAGTAAGCATTTTTAATTTTTCATCATTGATCCTTAATTAATTATATTCTATTTCCCATTATCCATCATTATATGCTATATTTTCTTGCCAGATATTCCCTCTTCCTTTGCTTTATGTTGGAAACCATATAACAGGCCTGGCCAGCACCAAAAAGCTCAGGTTTAACCAGTTTAGTTGTTATTTAATTTTGCCAATTTGGGTCCTTGCATTTCCTAGTGCTCATTCCTGTGGTCTTTCCAAAAACATATTGTCTTTTACAGTTTACCCATGTTCACTGTATTACGGAAATTCACCATATTGATGACAATGATCTTGGAAGTATATATACTAAGGTAAGCCTGTCTGATCTGAACTCTTACATAGAATGATTTATAATGAGTTTATCAGTTGCCAAGTGTGCTTGTTCGGTACTTTGACACATGCCCATGGATGAATTACTGGGCCAGAGCATCTGTTTGAAGTGACTGTTAACATTTCTTGTTGAGAAGTCACAAAGAGAGACAGAAAGTGACCAAAAAGATGTGTCCTTGAGACTGTTGCCCTTATTTATATGTAGAATGGGTGGAGGGCTTTTTACATTGTCTTCTAATTCCTCCATGCACACGGCCTCTTCCTGTCCACTGTTTGGTTTTGATCTGAATCTTTCACTGTTCCTTTTTTCAGAAAAACATTTCCAAAACGCCTTGTGTACAGTGTTGTTGCCATAGTTCTTGGTGCCATGATTGCTGCAAGGTATGTTTGTTTTTTTTTAGTTGGATTTGTTTATAGATTGTTTTAAGAACTGAACCATGTGCAGATAAAACACCTGTGCTTTCCCTCCATCTTTTTCTCTCCTCTAGTTCTGACCTGGCCTTCGATATGGAGGGCTACACCTTCATCCTGTTCAATGATGCCTTCACTGCTGCCAGCAGTGTGTACACCAAGAAGAAACTTGGGACTGAGGTAACATCCCCTGTACAATCTGTAGATATGGAGATGATTTAAACTGTATATTATTGGTAGTTTCAGTTAACAGTTAAATGTCTGTGTAGTTGTGGTTAACTGTTTTATTTACTGTTGAAAACGGACAAGAACCAGACAAATTGTGAGGTTATAGCAGAATGTATTACTGCACAGCCATCCTGCCAAACAAGGGAGGCGTTTAAACTTGTCTCCTCTGTCCTGAAAACTTGAAATACTTGATGGATGGATTGAGTGGTCACATTTTTATTATACATCTATAACCTTGTTGGGAAATAATGGGTTTGGATGGATTTTTAACTTTGGTATTATAAGGTGATGTCTGTAAGTTTGTTCATCCACCCTTTGAGTAAACAGGATCTTGCTCTCCACAGTTGCATATACACTATATGTACTTAGATAGACTTAGATATAGTAAACAAATAACAACAGCTGGATACACTCTGTCAGCCACGTATTTTAAAACCGCCACCTTTTTTGTTTATTTTTATGATTTTAGATAGTGACAGTTGTTGACTCATTTGGAAGTGAAATGTGAAGAACTATTAATAATTTCAAATATTTGATTTTGGTAACATTATGTCTAATATTTTCCCCTTTTTTTATAAGGGCCTTGGCAAGTATGGCGTCTTATTTTACAATGCTCTGATCATTGTTATCCCCACTCTCTTGGCAAGTGCATTAACTGGAGATTTACATGAGGTACATACGGTAACTGTAATCTCGTATATTCTTTCTGGGTGTTTGTGGATGCTTTTCCTGCCTGACTGCCTTGTATGTTCTGATCCACAGGCAGTCATATTTGAGGACTGGGTTAAAGCCACATTTATTATTTGTTTCCTCATGTCCTGCTTCCTGGGGTATGTCACTAAAATTCAGTTCAAACTGTTCAATTACTCTCCAAAAACACTCTGATATTCTAAAAATCCTACTTACATACGTAGCTTTTACATTACTGCCTCAGCCTATCCAGTTTCTTAAGACTCAGCTCTGTTTTTTTCAGGTTTGTTTTGATGTATTCCATAGTCCTGTGCAGCTATTATAACTCTGCACTTACTACGACAGTGGTGGGGGCAATAAAGGTAAGAACACGCTGATATGAATACTATTTTTAGACTCAAAAGCACACATTACGTATCTCCACCAAGGTCGGCCAACCCTCCAAACTGATTATTTTAATGATAGTAACTTTATTTTTGGCCCATGATGATGATTTATATTATTTTAGTTTGTTTTAGACGTTTTGCTAAGCAACAGACATGAAACCATACATAACAAAAATAAATAACTATCTTTAACTGTGTCATTATTTCTTATCTGCGCTTTTTCTGGTAACAAGATCATCACTAACTTAAAACTAAATTTTCTCCAGAATGTTGCTGTTGCATATATTGGCATATTTGTGGGTGGAGACTATCTGTTCTCTTGGACTAACTTCCTAGGCCTCAGCATTTGGTAAGATTTTTTTGTTCATTCCAGTTTTATATTTATTTAATGTCTTATATTTATATAAATGTTTTTTTTTTTTATAACAGTTTACTACCAACATATGTTGTTAAATGTCTGCACCGGAAAACTGTCAGAGACGTTTGATGTGACCAAACGATCAAATATATGCAGCCACAACATTTCTTTACACGTTTACATTTCTTGTTTCATAAGAGCAGCATTGTGAAATGAATTTCCATGTCTACATCCAAAGTCCAATCCTGAGCAAAACAATTGTGTACAGTCAGACATTTCCCGACAGATCAGTTTAGTTAATGTGTTATCAGTGACTAAAATTCAAATACGCCTGTTGTTTTTGTTATAACAGGGACCTTTGAATTAAAACTACAAAAAATTGTCTTGGTACATTCGCCGTCAGTCACTCTAACATCTAAGTGGTATTTTCCATGGCTCAACAATTCATTGCTTTTATCTTTTGCTTTGCAGTATGTCAGGTGGACTAGTGTACTCATATTTCACCTTTAGCAGCAAATCACCTGGAGGTAACACAGAAGGAGCGCACGAGCTGAAGATTCATGTTACAGAAGATTCAAATGGGAAGCACTTGACCAGCTGAATGGACAATATTTTAGCATTCACCACTTGGTGGCACTGTTCTGCTTCATATTGGAGCATAATGTTGCTGTAACACTTTGATATTTATTTCAACTCAATGAATTGATATCCCTGGATACATCACTGGTGCTATCTATTTAATTCCACTATTAAATCATGAGTGTATACATTGAGAAGAAGAGCACATACATTCTGCGTCAGGGTTCAGTGAATGTTTATTGAAGACCAACAATTACAACAACAGTGTAGACAGTCTGTCAGAGAATTCTTACCTTTAAAATGTGTAATAAAATATCTACCAAGCAAGCAGGATCACTCTATGCATGTCACAAACAGGAAAACTGTTGGAGGATGTTAGCAGAGGGGGGAAAACTGAAACTAAAATTCAACTTCAAAGCTCTTGTGCACACTCAATATTCTAACAAACACAATGTGTATATATTAAATGCCATAATCTTTCTCAGACCACAAAATAGGCTAAGGGTTAAAAGAATGCTTCAAAATATACTATAACTGGGTACAATAAATCATTTGGTGTTTTGATTATCAACAATTAACAATTTGCCTTCCAGTTTCACTGCAACTCCACAAGGGTAATTTATAAATCAAACAGATTCAAACATGACAGCTCGAGTGACAGAGTGACACGGTTGTTGGTGCAGGTTTCCCAAAAACAACCAGAAGCAGGGCAGTTATGAGAGATGTCATACAGTGTTGAAGGATGTAGTGTTGCGTGTAAAAAAAACAAAAAAAACAAAGAAAAAAATCGAGAAAAAAAACAACAAAACCCAGCACTACACAAATCAGTTTATGAAAAACAGGTGCCATTTCCTGGACACATAGAACAGATCTAATCTTCAGTGCATTGCAAGCTTAATCCAAAACTTAATAGTGGGTGTAAGTGCTTCATCAAAATCAATGGGATGTCTAAATTTATGCGACAAACTTTGAAATTGGAATATTTCCCTTTACGCATGAAATGATTCTAGTGCTCTCAAACATATGAACAAAATGTTAGCCAGACAAAAAAATATATATGGTGAAATAAATACCTCATAATTTAAACTCTGAAATGAGATGACATAGATGCACCACACACTGCAATGATGCTATGCCTGTATTATAACTGGTCTGCCACCTTTTAATATAAGAGGTGACTGACATTCATTGACAAACGTCTCCTGTCTGGGTGGAAAACAACTTTTGGCCTGCAGGCTTTACACACATTCTTTGTATCTATGAGGAAACTGTTTGGAAATGGAAATATGACATGTCCTGAAAGGTAATCCGGACCTTTATCCATTGTAGAATATTCAGAGCACAGTAGGTAGTTGGCTCGGTAATGTCAGGCAGATATGGTTATGTATAAATAAAGACAAATTGCAAGGCTGTAAAAGTTTGGATTATTGGAAAAACTTGTGCCTCACCAGACCTCTGGATTAGGCTTGCAATGATCACCTCTCATTCGCATGTTAGAATTACCATGTCACATGTCAGTACTGATCTAGCTCTCCTGACTTTCTTTTTTCTTATCCTCCCTTTTGTCCACCTTTGCTCACTGTTTTTTTTTGTTTTTTTAGAGAGAGCTGTACTGGTGAGGCTAAAACTATCTGAAACTTTCTGAGTCAATTTCTACCACCACTCCTGTCAAGAGTGGCGGCGAAATTGTGCTTTACAAGGCTGGAGATGAAACCTGGGACCATGGTGAGAGGTCATCTGACAGTCTGAATGTAACTTAACATTTCCTATGTTTTGACCAAACCCTGTATCATTCTGTCCATCTGAGCTTAATCCATATATACATTAGTCATACACACTCTCTTACACTCACAACATACTTAAAAAACTCGTTACCATCAAAGTGCAAACAAAACAAATTAAAAACATAACAGGTACTCTTTCTTTGCCTGTAGAAGACAGAAGAAAGAAAGACATTCTTCATATAGTCAAATCTACAATTATAGCAGCCTAAAAGAATAAAATGGAAGCTGAATAAGGTGCTTTAGCTTGTGCCTTCCTGGTGCTGTGAGGGGGATTAGATGATACTGTGCATAACACTGATCTCAGGCCAACTCTGTCTCAAAGTCTGGTTTCACAACTCGATAGAACAAACTAAACTTCGATCTGTGTTTCTGAACGATTTTTCGTAGCTACAGCACATATCGCAGGAAGGCGGGTTGGGAATGGAGATATGAGGGGAAGGGAATGGGAGTCCAGGATCAGGAAGTGGGTCGGTGTTCAGGCAGACAGGTTGTTGGCCAGCTCAATGAGCGCCAGAGCACCGTGGAGACGCTCTCGTTGCTCCTGGAGGCGGCGCTTGGCGGCACCTCCCTGGCTTCCCTTCTCTTCCTCTGCGGTGTCTTCCTCTTCCCCGTTCTCTTCATCAGATTGGAGAAACTCCATGGGATCCTGCTGCTCCTGGTCCTCTGCTCTTGCCTTGCCCTGTGGCTTCACCTTGGTGGTTGTAGGTGCACGCTGCTCTCGGGTTCGCCAGTACCTGCACAAACGGAGAAGATTATATTAACATACAATGTAAGCAGAAAATGACATGAAATGTTTGATATCTCAAAGCTCTCCCTCTGCATGCTTTATAAAACTATGGCTCAGTCCACCTGTTCAAGAGGGACAGTATGTGCAGGCTTCACTTACTTTGCCAGCCACTCTGCCACAGCCTTGTTATCCACAGACTGGGCCTTCCCCAGGCCCTCCTTTGGTTCCTCCCTCTTCAGGCGGGAGAAAGGATGCTTGGGGCAGTGACGATTGGCATGGGTGAACCGATTGCCACATCCTGTAGAGAAAGCAACAAGTATGAATAAATGCAGTAAGACATTAAAGGTCCCAAATATTAAACTAAGTCTTAAAGATTTTAGAAAAGCCAAGATGTGTAATGCATGACCCTTTTTGTGGTTTACTGTTGTCAGGAACACACAGTAATGTATCAAGGCTGTAAGAATGGATTGGTTGTTTTTCTTAAGTGACGGAATAATAGTGAATAAATCTTATTGTTGTTATGAGTCAGATAATTCTAGTGCTGATTTGCAGCTACTACACTTGTATTATAACACACAGTTACACTGTCTGTTCTGTGTTTCTCAGGTACTTTCCAAATGCTTCAAATATAACAGCCAGTTAAACAGCTAGTCTGTCACAGTAACTGAGCCACATTTCATACATTGGAAAGTACCGTAAAAAGTGAAAGTTTGACTTTGTTGTTTGGAAGAACAATATTGCGTAAAATCACTGTACAGCTCTTTTCTAAAAACCCACCTTTCTCTGAGCAAACAAAGGGTTTTTCCCCGGTGTGCAGCCGCTGGTGCGTCTTCAGCTGACCGCTCTGGACAAACGCCTTCCCGCAGTTTGGATAGTCACAGAGATAGGGCCTCTCTCCTGCGGGGCAAAAGAGGATATTGTTAAGGTAACAGCACTGTTATGGTTATACAAGTCTAAAGTAATTAGATAGTGCTGCTTATATGATACACACATGCACAATTTCCAAATGTGAACACTAAAGGCTTAAAAAATGTAGAATATGTTGATTAATTGTGGATCACATAATTGTGCCCCCTCCTAGTCAGCGTGCTACTGTTACATTTGCTTAGACAGGTGTTTACATGATCTTCCCTTCTTCTGGTAGTGTAGGAAAGGGCATTAGGCAATGACAACACCTCCACCTTTCCTCAAGCCACCTGTTTGCCTTGCTGTCTCTCTCACCTGTGTGTGTCCTCTTGTGAGCCTGGAGAGACTTCTCTCTGGGAAATACTCGGTTGCAGATGTTACAGCGGATACGGCTGGATGAGGTCTCTCCCTCGCTTATCAGCTCGCGGACAGTGTCAGCCCGTGGACGGCCTCTGCGGATACCATCCTGACAGCAAGAATGCACAGAATTTTTTTTTTTTTTACCTTGGCTTAATTGCAACCTTAAGAACACTTTTTTTCATTTTGGCAGAACAGCAGCCATAAGCAAAGTATGATTTGACAATATGAGTACAAAATGCTTTCACACTTCATGACCTGATAAATCTACAACATATGAATCAAGTTAGGAGAGCATCATTTAAACTGGCATATTATGTTCATACTGCTTTTATTACGTATATGCGTAGTTTTACCACTGATTTGTATATGATGCAATATGAAATCAATCATAATTTCCTCCGATGGGCTCACGTGTCACATTGTAGCACGTTTGACCAGCACAAATCATTCACATCCGGTTACATTTTTGGCGCGCTACAATGCGTCATGTATAAGCAGCTGCTCCTGATTCAGGAAGTAACGGGGGTTTAAAATCCACCATGTCACACCCTAATGCGCGGGCGTTTTTTTAAATGACTCTCCATCTCGGCCATATTAAGGCTGTGGCAAAATATAATTTCCCCGCTTTAAGTAGTCCCATCTTTAACAATGAATTTATATTTCTCTATATTGTATTAATCCTCTATGACCACTTACTTTGGAATGGTTTGTGTTTTAAAAGATGTCCGTAACATCATGCATGCCCTCTATCTCACAACAACTAATGTTATCACTAGTAGTTACACATATATTAAGTGTTGTTGTACGTTACAAATGTTGTTATAAGTGCATAAGTGTTGTCAGCAACCTTGAACTATAGAGGAGTGACTTCAGCCTTTCAGCTCTGCTCAGTCTGGACAAAATGACTGTCCTGCCACGTTGTAAGCAGAGTCATAATGATTAAAATAAGCTTTGTACCTTCATCTGGTCAGGTGAGGGAGCCGTGTCCGCTTCTCTGGCCGTCTGGGTCCCGGTAGGAGACGAAGCCCCGCTCACTGAGCCCGGGCTCAGGGTCACATTGTGGGCGTTCTCCCCCCATTTCCACGGATACACCATGAAGTCGCTAAAACCGGGGCTTGTCGGCGTAAGGGCTTCCGCTTTTCTGGGTTTGATCGGGGTGGTCTTGATGACGGACACCAAAACTCTTTTGGGTGAGTCGTTGCAGAAAATAACATGCGGGTGCTTGTTATCGGCCATCGTGTGGATGTCAAAATGTCGGTGTTAGTCTCAAAAGCAAGCGAAGAAACTGTAAAAGTTTGAACTCTAAATGATTGCTTCTTTAAAAAAAAAAAAATCAGCTGGTAAAAGTCATGAATCGTGCGGCTTTTCAATCTGGAGTGAATATGTCCTTCATTTCCAAAGAGGAATAAAAAAAATCTTGGATCCGTTCTTCGCAACAAAGTATCCTCTGAAGATACAGTCAGATATGAAGATGATTGTAAGTTTCCTTCTTGTCGCAGCGGGTCGTCTGAACTGACCTGTGTGCGCCCACAGAAGCATTGTCCCGCGTTGGAAATCGCGCCTGAGGAGCTGGCCAATCGACTGTAGGGATCTCATCCCACGTGTCAAAAGAAACCAATGGCTGCCAACGTCTACGTAGCAAGCCAAAACGGCAATGGCAGAACAGAAAGCGTTGATTGGTCACGACGTTTTTGTCCAATGAGATTTAAACACTTAATGCGCGCACTCACACGGTGACATCAAGATAGGCCAATGAAGACGAGCGCTCTGCAGGTTCGGCCACGACGGAGCCAATGAGAGAGAAGAGCGGTAATTTTACACCGCCGATGAATAGACCATTCCCGCGCTGAGGAGTCTGTTTATGTTATTACATTTTTGGTCAATTTAAAGGGAAAGGAAACGGTGGCTCAGAGGCGCCAAAGTTACGTAATCATTATAGGGCGGAATTACTTGAACAAAGGGTGCACTGTGTGACTTAAAAGAAATAGAAACTAAGGGCTATTTGAAAATATGTTTGTCTTAAATTAGTGTACAACATCATGGTGGTTATTCCGTTATTCCTGATTTTTTTATATGCTTAAGAATAGTAAGATACACAAATGTACAGGAAATGTGTCTGTTGAAGAAAAGTATCAAACGTATATAAAAGTTTTTTTGTCATTCATACAGATAGATCTAAAGATCCAGATGCAAGACAAACAGGATTTTCATTCGCCATTCCAGCTGAAAGAGTTGCTGTTAAAAGAAGAACATCAGATCACTTAGCAGTGTAACTGAAACAGATTGAACAGGTAAACTAGACATGTTATTTTATCAAGTTCAGCATAACTATCAGTAGTCATGCTCATCCCAGAGGGGACTGGACGTAATAAATGAAACAGCAGTCAGAACCAAACATATGAATGTATCATGTGGGATCCAGCTCACAGGGAAGGTTGGACATGAAATTGCAGATACACCAAGGAGGCAGTCAAACAGGAAGATAGCATGAAAATTTATTTTACCAAAGCAAAAGGTAGGCCATAATAACGAACAACATTATGAAAGACTGAAAACATAACATAAAGGTAAAAACATGCCTATAGGACCTAATTTCTTGGTGCCCATACACTACGTTCTTTGTGGTATAGCAGAATCAGAATCAGAATCAGAAATACTTTATTAATCCCCTGCGGGAAATTGTTATGTTGCAGTGCTCCATTCCACATATACAAAATATAATAAAATAATAATGAAGATATAACCCACAATATTAAAAATATATTAAAAAAAATATATATATATACCCTGTCAGTAATAAACAGTATATACATAGTTAATGCTATTTACAGTAACAGTGAATTTGTACTGATTGAATTATGTCCAGAATTGTAATTGGATCGGATATTTCCTGATATGCATTAATACTGTCACACTGATACAAAGTTTAAAAGAATCCCCCAACCCTTCTGTATGTTGAGATGGTGTAGGTTGACATCACAGACTTGAACTTTCCACTCTGACCACTAGATGAAGCTAAATTTCATTGTGTAAAATATATCCTGACTCATCCTGCTGGTGAGAATGACACAGCTTAATCAGGTTTGAGGTATGTTTATCTAATTTTACACTTGGAATACATGGATCTGAGCATTCAGAGACCAATTCAGATGGAAAGGAAGTAAATTAATTTCGTTATTTGTACAATAGACATCTACACAGTTTAGCGCAAGCCGCACAGTTTATAAAGGCCATGCGAATATGAAGACTTAAATGGAATATTCTTCAGATTTTGCAGTGACCTGGAAAAGTTAATGCTACTAAATGATCACAGATTCCCAAGCACAACTGAGATAATTACTTGCTCAAATGTCTATTTAAATGAAAGCAGACATACTTGATTACTCATAAAGTAGCCTACACATGGGCCTTCAGGAAGCTGCTCGATGGGTGTGTAGAAAGCTTCACCTTATAGCTAATATAACTATTACAGTCACACATAATATAATATGTTGAAAATAAAATAACTTTTCAAGTAAAGTAAGATACTGGTAAAAGGAAACAGGAGGGAATAATTAGTTTGAGATCTTTTGCTTTGGATAGAAAAACATTGTTTTACCTAAGTTACACTGGTAGCAACAGTGTTTTGTGTTTTGTTTGTGTTTTGTCAAGAGCTGGCTCCAGCAATGGAAAGCAACCCTGTGTTACTTCACATTTGTACTATTTGTGTTTTTGTATAATGTCCAAATGTTGATGGTATAAAAACTTAAATGACAAAAAAGTCTTACTACCACCAAATATGTTCAGACGAACAAACTGGATTGTTGCCTGGTCAGACAAATAAGCATTGTCACTGAACTTATAGGAAGACAGGACTAATGACTTGTTTCTACTTTTAGCTAAGTCAGGGCTAACACAACATGCTAATGCAGCTAGCTGAACTAGCTGCAATAACACAAGCAGCGAGCACAAACAAGAAACCTAGCTATTGACCTATAAAATTAAATTAGCAGAATTTAGTCAGAGCTAACGTAAACTGTATCCGGAACAGAAGCCTGTCAGGATGAGTTAATGAAACAGTTTACTGTCAGACCGAAATACTAGAATTTGGGGTTCTTATTGTCAAACAAAATACTAGTTTCGCCATAATTACCTCAGATGTTAGCCAGCTTTAAGTAGTAACAGCCAACATTAGTGAATGTTAAAATTAGCTAAACCTCCTCTGAGAAAATGTGAAACCACTAACACTGGCACTAACACTGAACGCATAGTGTTTTTGTTTTGTTTTTAATTTAGCTTTTTATCGATAAACTAAGGTTAACTACTTTTAATAGGAAACAATATACAATTTAATTTTTAATTTTGCTAATCTAGTATCTTAAAATTAAGCGAGGGGCATTCATTTAGCTTCAAAATGGTAATATAATGCAATTTTTTTGTCTAGAATAAGTTTTTTTTATTTTTTTATTTTTAATAAACTCCTTTTGACTTCAGTCCCTGTGCCAATATTCGAGTAACACTTCCTGACTAAGCAGAGAATAATCCACCTGCATTGGTCGAGGATTTGAGCCAAGTCTATGCAATGAATATTGATTAGTGCATAGCCTATTGATGAACACAGGGGCGTGGCGTCGTTTGACTCCACACGTGCAAACATTTAAAAGTGTGGACAAACTCTTTGGGGCATTTGTTGGATGTTCACAGTGGAAGCTGTTGTACCTGGACAGGAAAACGGTGGATACTTGAGTTTTATTCTTGCTGTTAAGCATTGAGAGTGTGAGAAGGGAGTTGTCTTTTGAACGCTGCTTTTTTTTTGTGGTACCACAGGCTAAAAAATGCTGCCGGACGCCTACGGTTGCGTTGTGGCGAACAGGTTCGGGAATCTTCTGGATGACGAAGCGGATCCGTTCGACTTGATCAACGAGGTGGAAACGGAGAAGGAGAAAAAGAAGAAGAAGAAGAAGAAGGACGATGATAAGAAAGGAAAGCAGAAGAAACCTGGGCAAAGGGAATCTCAGAAGGACAGACGCCTCCCCATCGCGTCGGATGGTCAAGAACCAGTTCCAGGTGGGCGCCACACGCTCGGCTGCATTGTCGTTACACACCCCGAATCCAAACGATTCTGGCAGCTGCTAGTATTTCTAGATTGCATAGTCCAGCCAAGTGGCCGGTTTGCTTAGGCTTTGTCAGCTGCTGATGGTGCAAGGTCAGCGAGGCTGTTGAAGCACATGTGCATGCTGTCAGGGTGGGTTTCAGGTGGCTGTGTTGCCAAATGATTTTATAACATTTAAAACTGCCTATGTAAATGCATGCTTTAACCCCAGACATGAGAATGAACTATCTACTGATTCGATGAAAAATAAATCTACAAACATATTAAAAAAACTGTAAGGTTATGTATGTGCAGTCTTCCCCTTTTTACTATTACAAAGTGACTGGACTTTTGGTTTCCCCCTTGTTTTCCAGCAGTGGTTTGATACACCTGTTTCATTGCAGAATAGAGGTTGTAAGCAGGAGACTGGAAATGTTTTTATAATCAAGGTTGGGACCTAAGGGAGTACTGGAAGATTCAAATATCCAGCCAGCACTTTTTGTTGTACTGTAGACTGTAATAAGTGGCCTTTATTGATGAGTGGCTGTCCTCAGTCCGTAAGCAGCAGCAGCAGCAGCAGCAGCAGCAGCAGCAGCAGCAACAGCAGACACGTCCTCGGCCAGTGATTGAGAGTGGAGATGGCAGAGAGGAGGCCCAGAGGGGCATGAAGAGGGCTGCCGTCGCGGAGCGTAGGGCCAACCAAGAGGCGTACCCACAGGAGTTTTCAACCTCTAAGTATGTGTTCTAATACAAGCACATGCACTCTGTTTATTCAGCACCACCACCGATTTAAAAATTAAATCAAGATTTTTGATTAGTTTTAAAATGTTATTTTGACTTACTTCACACATGAACTCCTTATACCCATTCCCCCCTAACTAAGTAATGTTATTTGAAACAACACTTCAACTTTTGAAAGAAGAAATGACAAATTCTTCTTAACAATAAAATGACAAGTTCATAAGTGATGAAACACACCCTTGCTCTATTCAATACACACTTTGCTGCCACAGTCTTGCTTGGTCTGATATGCAGAAACTTATGAACACGATACTCAAAAAAAATCAGACACAACCAGTGACCAGTGCCTAGAAGAAGACTCTACCACCTGGCTTGGAGACATAGGCGCTGTAGCGGAAATAAAGTTTTTATGTTTGTTCCTCAGGCCTTCCTATTATGCAGACACTGACTCCAGAGGCAGAGGGGGGATCAGAGGTAGGAGAGGAGCAAGAGGTGGTGGATACACAAGGAACCAGGACAGCTTCAACTTGAGGGGCAAGAGAGAATATGATCGACACAATGGAACGTAAGCATTTTTGTTCATGTAGCTGTTTGGAAAAAAAGCTTATGCCCTTGTTGATTTCTCTCATAGTGGTGTATTGACAACTTTTCTAACATTCATTGCAGAGGCATATCTCCTGAGGAAAAGAGAGGAGGCAGAGGACCCTGGAACTGGGGCTGTGTTGAAGAAGCTGCAAGGTAAGTGAACTTTTATTATCAACATGGAGATGACAACTTTTAAACTTGGGCACAATAGAGAGGCATTTCTGCTTCTGTTCTTGTACCTTTTTGTGAAGTGAATTAATGGAGGTGACGTCTGACACTCCGGTCAAATCTGAGGAGCCCCAAATACCTGCAGATGAAGAGAATCAGAATCGGTGAGTGACGCACATAAGTACCTTGCTTAAAAACAACCACATCATCTGGCTCAATGACAAATTCATCTGTCAAGAGTGACAGCTGACCAGTCTCTAAGTGCGTAACAATTAGACAATCTAAAATGTGGGGGTAGTTTCTACAAACTGTGTTTTTTAAGATCAATAAACTGATAAAGAGATGGGGGAAAAAAAAAATCTAGCCAGTCTACTTTAAGACCTGATGTTATACAGAACACGTTAAGGGTTTTCTTTAACTTTTGCTTATTGAACCCTAGAACAACATGCAGTGTTGATCACATTTGTAACCGTGCAAAAGCTCCTAAAGTTTAGGATGAAACAAAAGCAAATTTCTGTGTAAAGTTTAGTCTATATTTAATATAGACTTTATAAAAATGCCAAGAAATCTGCCTGCTTAATATTTTTCAAAAATACATTTATTGTTTATGATCAGTGTTTCCAAAATGGATTTTGCTGTCTTTGCAGTGACACATTTAATATATCCCTCGGCTCCCAACAAAATGCCACAAGCTTTTTTTGCTCATAAGATTTTTTTTTTTTTTTTAATTATTCTTTAATGAAAAACAAACCTAAAAATCTCTTCATTTGTAAGTGGACTGACAGAATTAATTTGTCCCCAATTATGATAGAACAATGGAAGAGGAGGACGGAGAGATGGTGGTCCAGGTTGCTATGGAGATGACCCTCGACGAGTGGAAGGCCGTGCAGGAGATGAGTCGTCCCAAGGCAGAGTTTAATATCCGCAAAGCCGAGAACAAGATTCCCTCCAAAGCCAAGGTCATCCACCAGTCAAATCACCTGGAGGTGAGAATGTAAAGCGCATAATAGAATCTGCTCACAAGAAAACATTGAAACCCTAATGAAAGTCCAGCCATGATTAAAGCAATACAGACTCAAGTCCTTCAGGAATGTGTAAACTAGTCAAATGGTGAGTGGCGCTGAGGTTGTCTTTCCTGTGATTAGCACTTTGCAACCTAAAAATCATCAGGAAATTGCCGACCAGACAGGTGGTTAATGGAGATCTTGAGTTTTGTTGTACCTGTCAGGTTCAACTGTCTTTTGGACTATATTTAGCGTTTGCCTCCAACCTTCAGAACCTCAAGGAGACTCTGGAGGACATGGAGGACGATGGCAACTTTCTCCGAAGGTCTGTGAATGACATCACCTCCCTTCTGGACATCAATTTTGGGAGTCTTGGACGCCCCACTCGTGGGGGTCGGGGAAGGGGAGCACGAGGTGGTCCGACCAGTCGCCCAGAGAGACCTAAACCCATATTGGAGAGGGTATGTTCTCCACTCTCAGCTAAGGAGATAAATGCGTATATATATGCGTGTGTGTGTATATGTGTGTGTATAAAATATTAGGAAAAAGACTTCATATTAAATAAATATGCATAATCTGATTAGAGTTGGTAACGTCTGTTTTCTCATTAGGAGGATGATCTGGCCCCTAACCCAGATGACCCAGAGGACTTCCCAGCACTACCAACAGGAAGATAATTGAGTACATTTCTCTTCATTTACCTTCTGTGAGGAAAATTAGTTGCACTAAACACGATCGAAATCACTGTTTTCATGTTTCTGCTGTTCTTAAGATTTGGGATTCTATTGCACTGAAGGCACTGTTCAGCATTTGACTCCTGGAGAATAAATGCTTCTGCAAGTTTATCTTGGAGCTGTTGAAGTTTTTAATTTTTTTTTTTTTTTTTTTATAAAAACACTGGGACTATTATAACAAAATGTGAGGAATGTGAAAAATATAATACAACTGTCCTCAGCTGGGCAAAAGGAGTGTCTTACTGTGAAACCAATGGACAAACAGCCAGAAACTACTTGGGAGTAAAATTTTATTTAAAATGTCCAATTCTATGTGCTTAAAGCAAATGTCTTTAGTGGATTATGAACATGAGTTAGACAAGGCCCCTTTAGGACCGTTGACTTATTTCATAGCATGATTCCAACATAGTACAAAAATATTTACAAAATACAAACTGAGTATATCAAATGTTGACATATTTACAGTCTTGAATTACAGTAGCTGAAAAGCTTCACAAGTAAATGACAGAAATAAAAGACAAGCCAGATATTGAATGGTAGTACAAATGTGCACAGTACTGTATCGTGTGATGGAATTCTTGCCAATGGAGACTTGATGTTTCATCTACATCCATGGCTAAACGCACCTTTGTGCCTTTGACCTTGGAGGACCAAGAGCAGGTTTTTATGACAAACTCCTGACCAAATCCATCTCCAGATCTTTATAACTGAATGTGAATCATCTCTTATAAACCAGAATATCTGTTGCACAGTGCTCATTTTGGAGGAAATCTCTTGGATTCACACATTCACATGCCGGTCTGATGGATGTGGTTCAATCTGATGTTTGCTAGTGCATGCTTCAATAAGTAAGAACAACCAGGCAATGATTAAAACTATCACTTTGTTTCATGATGCTGTTTAAAAAATATAAAAACCAAAGTGCCTTACGGGTAAAATAACTTGTAATCAAACAATCTATAAATCATTGAAATGTCACATCACGTTGGTTAAGTTTGTTCCAACCGTTTTCTCAAAATTAAAAAAACAAATTAGTATAGCTGTATATAAGTTGGATTTCATGTATATTTCTTCAGGATGTCTAGATCCACAGGCTCATCGAAGTAGAGGAGCTCTAGCTTTGGGTATGGAGTGACTATAAAGGAAAGAAAAAGAGTACATTAGTACAGAGAATTATCTTACTGATTTACATAGCACTATTCAATTAATCTGTCAACATTTTTCCATTCATGCAATTGGTGTATATTCACATGGATCACAGATATGCCTATAAGAATGCATCATAATACATAATTCCAAAAGATGCCAAATTATACCTTTTACGATACATTATGTAACAGAAAGTGAAAAGGAGATAGATACCATAGCCTGGAAAATCGAATTGATTTCAAAGAGCTGCGAGCTTTACGTCCTCGGGAGACAGTGCGTCTGTTACATGTAGGAAATGAAAAAGAAAACGAAAGAGGAAGGAAAGAACACTGCAGATTAGCACCAGTAAAAGATGCAGAAATAGCTACAGACTGGTGACAACAGGCCAGAGGCAGAAGACACAGTGAGCAGCAGAGTCCAGAGAAGCTATAGCCAGTCATACTCTGAAATCCACTATTCTTAGAGAACATGCAAGGAAAGCTTTTGAAAGGAACAGCATGAGACTGAGGCAGGAGTTTAACCTGACACTGGTACATAAAGCAGGGACAGATTTACTATATATGTAGTGTTAGTACACTATCTGGGTAAAGAAGAACCATAGCTGGGTTGCATCATGTTCCAGACAACCAGCTTAGTTAGGTATCTGAAATGAACTTTGTTGTACAATTTAGATGTAACCCTAGTATGAATAAAACTGTAACTGATTAACAATATAGGTATAAGCTGTAAAATAGCAATATTTAAAAGATTGAATAAAATTTATTTTTTGATGTTACATTTCATCTCTTTGACAATGATTGGTTTATGTTTTATCATCTTAGGATTTATGCTGTAAAACAAACTTGGACTTTGGCAAGTTTCCATGACTTTGTAGGAAAAGTATTTTTTTCTGTTTATTTAAAAAAAAAAAAAAAAAAAAAAAAAAAAAAAATCAAATTAGCATTTAGGTTAATGAGATCAATTAAGTCTGATTCCTGTCTTTCTTCAAGTAAAAGTAAGTCATTTTCCTCCCAATGACCTCAAACACACTGCCCTCCAGACATGTGGATTCATCTGAGCTATCAGATCAAAATGTTTAAAAGAGATCTAAATTTAATTTAGCAATTCCTCACTACATAAAACATCTGAAAAGAATTTGTGGCAGAACCATAATTTGGTTATGTTTAAACATTTAATAATTGTTGATGCATCCCAGCCTAAGTACTTTAAGTGATTATGACACAACCACTGTCTTGAGCATTAAGAGGGGAAAGAGGGAGAGTGCTGAGCCTCTGGATTTTGGCTGGATTTACACAGGCACAAATGATCTGATCTGATCTGATCATCCCATGGCTGCCAAAACCAGGGAGAAATCACTTTAAGCATGATTTTTCTTGTTTGGGCAGTAGAGATGAGATCTGCTCTTCATAAAAAAAAAACCAAACTTGTTAAAAAATAGTTTGTTTGTGTGCAAATGCAGCCAAAGTCTCCATATGGCTCAGAGTGAGTTTGTGGGAGCTTGCCTGCAGGTGGATCTGTGCCATGTTTAAGTTGATGAGAGTGCCTGTGTTGGCTGTGGCACTGGCTGTGTCTCTATGGCTGCCACATGGCTCACAACACATTGGGTCCCTGTCGCCAGTCACTACATGCAAGTTGCCTAGGGACCTGACCAGTCTGGTGTGGCACAGGGAGCTGGCAGAGAGAGGGGGAAGCTGTTAATTTACTCCACAAGGATCCACGAGTGGCTATAGCCTCTTGGTTGCTTTTCAGCTGTGTCTACTCCACATAAAAAACACAATATGATATACTTGTTACTGCAACAACACAGCACAGTTCTTGACAATGTAGAGACAGGAAAATAATTGAAATAACACAAGTCCAACACTGAGACCATAATTGGTGCTTATTAGTCTTGTGTTGTTAGTGTAGTTTTCTTTCAACAAACATTTTACAAATATAAAATTGTTGATTTGAGTCCACTTGATACATTTTAAGAGCTTTCAACAGCACAGACAAAAAAAAGGATATTTTCTATTTGGTTAAGTAAAAATTTCCGTTAGTTCTCATCCTGCTCTTATTATAAATCTGGACTATCAGAGTAAATGAGTGCTCAGTGTCAAATCCAGCCACTGACCTTCCTCCTACTCCGTTGCCTGGCAGTGAGGTTCTGGTCCTCTTCCTGCTGTCTGAGTGGTCAGACAGAGCCAGGGGGTTGACACTGGTCTTACAGCCCTGAACACTGCCGTGCAAGATGACCCTGCTGAGAGGAGAGATAGGTGACATAAAAGATGAGTCTCAGCCATATTTTTTGTCAATGTGATGGTGTGCGTGTCACTGTACATGTGCATTGAATATATTACCTTAGGGACTGTGATGATGACCTGGTGTGAATCTTATTCTCTTCCTGTCTGTGAAAACACAAGTAACATGACAGTAAAAATGTGATTAAACTTTATATAATCAAGAGAAATGAGAGAGGAGGAAAAGACTGTATGGAGATGGGCAAGAAGGCTTTAAAAATTTATAGCTTTAGACTTAGGCACAGATCATTATTGCAGCTTCAGCAGCCAAGTTAGTAAAGCCAAGTAAGTACCAGTAGAAGCCAAGGGGTGGCACCAAACGACTTAGAGGGACCTGATTTGACTTTTTACAGAGCTATTATTGTCATCAGCTTAACTGTCTGAGGGGTTTTGATTTTGGCAGTTGGCAGTTCAATCAACATAATAACCAGCAAAGCATGATGTTTAAAGATGAAAGGATGATGGGAGCAGTTTATGGTACAAAATCGTTATGTACTGAAAAATGGTGACAAGGACAAGGCAGGAGCCTTTGATGATTCAGATTTTTAAAAAGTGGCTCTTGCTCATCAGCTCAACGTTTACTGTGCTTACAGAAAGGTAACAAGAGGATGATTTAAACAACTTTCTGATTGGGTTGGGAATTAAAGAGAGACAGGGGGCTCACTTACAGCATTCTCAGTTAGAGCTCCAGAACGGGGCAGGACAGGTTTTTTGGGGGCTGACGGGCGGTAGAACTCATTGAAATCCTAACCCGTCTATACAGAAATGCAGGATGGAAGAAGGGAAGCCATACACAATCCACCACAGGGCAAGGCTACACAGGGAGGAGAGCAGCATGGCTACCAGCCATCTGAAAGGAGGACAAATCCAACAACAAGAGCAAACGGAAAAAAAGGGGAAAAAAAGGAAGGAGAGACAAGAGACGTCCGGGCAGGACACAAAGCCTCTGATGTTCTGCTTTTCCACTGGGACTGGATTAGATGAAATACCTTTCATAGAGTCTTGCATCCAGCAGTGCCAGTCAGCAAGTTTTTGTTTCTTATTCTTTACTTGCTCTGATGTGTTAGCAGATTGCCATATACTTAGAAACCAATTGATGTGGGAGTTCTGAATTAGATTTTGATATTTGTGAAATTAAAAAAAGCTAATAAACATACTGGCAAATATTCCATTTACACAAAACATTTCTGACAGTAAGGATAAATTAGATATTTAAGAGTTGTGACAAATATACATTGTAGTACGTCATTTTACAGTTGACAACAAACTTTACTGATCGTACGATGACCCTAATAGTACCTATAAGATGACATTAAATCTTCTTAAATAAATAAGCAGTATCTATAATCAGTAGCTCTAATTGTTAGTTGATAAAAACATAAAAAAAATGGTCAGTTCCTACAAGAATTAAAGTATCCATTATCAAATTTTGTTTCACAATAACAGACCATTTAAAAATAAACCTGGCAGAAGCAAAAAATCTGAGGGAGTAAACAAAGCTCAGATGCGTTTTTTTTACTGATCCAGTCACAAAAAGCAATGGAAAAACAACAGGCATTTGACAATGAACCCGGCCCAACATTAATTACGTTAGACGAACACAGATTGAACACAGAGGCATGTCCATGCGTGCATGTCCAAGGGTTTCATGCCTGCTGCCATGCGTGAAAAAGGCAGAAAAGATGAAGAAAAGTTTTCATATAATTGTTGTTCTTGCTGGAATTCAACATGCACCTCAATATTACATAATAAAACAAACAGTGGAGCCAGACGGTGAAGTTCAGCTGCATGTTAGATGTTTGTCTAGCAACTCATTCATTTATAAAAGGCATATATGGCCTAAAGTGCAAGCAAATCTCTCTTCTGTCTCAACTCCCTCCTGATAACCTATAAGAATCCATTTTCATCCCTCTACCTCCTCTGAAGCTCACATATGATGTTTTAGTCCTTTATATTAGAATGCAGATCAGGAGGAATTTATCATTCCAACAATGCCATTTAAAGTCTCTGATTAAACTCATAAAACACCTCAGTCAAAGATGATCCTAACACAAACTTACTACTGGCAATTTCCAAAAACCCCTACAACTTAAGGGTTGAGCAGACAAGTTAGCTACTTTACCAAACAATAAGGATATACCTACTGCACATCACAACAAGGACCAAGTTTCCCTTACTGAATTTTGTTCTCGATAAGTGGCAAGTCAGTAGTGCAAGCCATGCACTAAAACATTTAATTCAACTAATCCAGATCTCATGTAAAACCGTGATTAGTTGAATAATTGGTGCTGTTGTTAACAAGTACAGCAGGCTCAACTTGAGACCTTTACTGTAACTCAGAGGATATCTCTGATAAGCAGAACAGCTCAGTGTGTCTATGAGGCAGACAATGAAAGGCGTGTCAATGTAATGCATCCATTAAGTGCATATCCACTTCACACCGTAGTCATCCAAAGAAAGAAAAAAAACAAAACAAGAACAACATCAAGTCAGCCATACCGTTAGCCATACCAGTCACTGGCATAGCAACCATTTCTACAGGAAGAGGATGTCAGCTAGAAAGGAAGTGACGTGCACTTACCTCCATCATACAAAACCTCACATCCTCTCTCTGTTTTTCCTCTCCCCCACTCTTTCTCTGCCTCTCTGCTATTTTTTGAACGGCAGGCAACACATCGGCCACACCGTACCCATGAGGCTGCAGCAGAACACTACCACCTGCCTGACATGGGACAACAAAAGCCAAAGCCATATGGGTACATTGGCAGAGGCCAGTCAACCATCCTCAGCCTTGCTGACACCCAACCTTCCACGGTTTGATTTACATAGGCACAAATGATGTAGACTTTATTTAAACAGGGTAGTAAAAAAAATCTATTAGGGTTCCTTCTGTGTAGTTAACTGTAAAGCATTAGCACTTTATCACCTTCTGATGGAACACAGGGTTTCCATAGAGCTGGCTAGTCACATGTTACAGTTGTCTAGCTGTACTCTTATGCTTGTTACACACAAATATACTAGAAACAAAATCTAAATCGCCAAGTTTGCAAAGGCATAATAAGTTTGGAACATGCCACAGTGACTCATTTTAATTTTTAGAGACTTTGTGGTAAAGTTAAACTCCATGCTTGTTCCTCTTTCGTTTGACATTTCCAATATGAATCAGATTCAGATTTCACAACTGCCAAGTTGTGATTGCACTTCTATCACTGCAGAGCAGGGACTTACAGAGAAATAGAGACATCGCCTTTTGTATTAACCACGGATTTACATGCTTCCATGTCCGGTGTGGAGTGTCATTAAATGATTGGTTCTGCAGTGACCCATCATTCCATTGGCTGGCAGATCAAAGTTGTTTACGGTCAGTTCCAATATTGTCCTGCATTCATCCAGAATTGATTAGACACTACTGCAATGCAATAATGTCTGTTTTTGAATCATAATGTTAATCAAATTCTAAAAATCAAAACTATCAAAATGCAACTATCAGATCTTCTCTTGACTAAATGAGTGGCCCAATTACCTCAAGGACAATGTGACATGATAACCCAGTGACTAGCAAGCTCTAAATTGATTTGGCCTATATATTTTTCTCCTCAACTCTGAGAATTATTTTTAAGATATTGACTGAAGAAGACAATTTACAGATTATCAATCCTGCAGTAAAACAAAACCCATAGATTATATCTGTAACTTCCACATCTTTTGTGCCTCTCTAAATCCAGCCCTCAACAAAATGTTTTCTGGAAGATTGTGTATCAGACGCCAATCCAACCCTCCAACCAACTGGGTCACTCACTCCATCTATTTGACCTACTTCTTCCTCGACTTATTGTTCACCCTCACAACTTACTGATTATAGATGATAACTGAATCACTCATATTACACTTGATCTGCATGTGATGACATTTAATCCGAAAAACCAGAAGGGGACACAAAAAAAAAGTTATTTAAAAAATACTGCCTAGGTCATTAACTCATAAATTACGATATTAGAATGAAATTGCCATGGTATGGGTAAGGGAGAGCAGCCCTAACAGATTTGCCATACCTAAAACCTGACACAAAGAGACAGCTGACTACCCTGAATAAACAGTCAGGAAAGGAGAAAGTTCATTAAATGAAATGATAAAAAAAACAAAAACCTACAAGGTCACTACCTGGTCTTTATGAAATCCTAATTTTTCCAAATCATATGTTACTCATGATTTGAAAAACACTACTGTATACACGTAATGAACCGACGGACTGACACGAAGAGGCATCGCTCAGTTTACAGTACTACAACACGTCAGTGTGATGCATGATGACACTTGCAGGCTGCTTGGGTACTTACGATAGTGAACCTGAAGATGATCTGGCTTGCCTCTTGCTCTTCAGGGCTCGCAGTTTATCACCCTGTGTAAGGCCATTTCTCTCCTCTTCATCATTATACTGCAAAACAACGCAATCAGTAGATAAAGCAGTGTGTTCTTGTGGTTCGTTGGTTTTTTCCCACTTATGGAAGTACTGTCAAAAATGATGAAAGCATGACAGGAGCATCATTTCAAAACTCACCAGTTCCATTTCTTCCTTCTTGGCTGCCCTGTTCTTGTTGCTCCCATTGATGGTTATGTCATCCACTCCAGACAGGATCCTGGTTACAGCCATCTTGCCATTCTCTTGTTCATTTAGCATCTTCTCCCGGAAAACATCTCCCTCAGCCCATAGACTGTTCTGCTTCCTAATGTACAAAAGTTCCACAAACCACAAAATAAACTTGTTATTCTTGCTGAAGATTTCTCAGATCAAATCTGCCCTCACATGGAAGTCCAATTATACAGAAGTCTACAATATAATTACCTGTTTTTTTTAAAAGCCCCGAAACCCTATTTTCTTAATTAGCATCTTACTATAAGTGTTATGAACACATAATTTTCTGACAAAGTTAACAGCTTTGGTAATGTCACCCAAGAGATCTGTTTACTACATTTGTGACAGTCAAACTGTTCATAAAGTAGAGGTGGTGAGTGAGTGTTGGAGTGAGCAAGAGAGGGTAGTCTGTATGTGATGGTGATGCTGGCAAGTGGAGCAGGGAGAGCTACGTCAGGAGTACATGTGCAAGTAGCAGCCTATTGTATGTAGAGTTTAGGCTGCTTGTCAGAAAATAAATGCTACAACTCAGCAAGACCAAAGCTAGGTTCCTTTGTTTTGCTTACCACTTGCACAGAACATGCTGACAGAGAGTGCACATATAGGAAACAGGTGAAAACAATGATTAGACGAGGTGCTAAAGCCTGAGCAGCAGGCTCAGCTGTGGAAAGCGTGGTGGCACACTGTCCTGACAGATATTACATACAGCGCTGTTGAGCACAGGGGACATTCCTTCACTGTGACAGCCAGAGGTAATAAAACCTATGGATGCTATTTTCTGAACCTTATCTTTGTTTGGTGCTTATCCAGGCACGAATATTCTGCTTCAATCGACACTTACTCTTCAACAAAGTTCTGCTGAGGCCCAATGATGGACCCTGGTCGGCAGATCCGTATCCAGGCAATGGCCTCTGCAGCAGTCAGGCGGTAATGTTTCATCATATAGCAGCCGATCAGAGTGCCGGTCCTCCCCAGACCAGCTGAAAGAAAAAAAAGTGGCGTGGCATGTCATTAAATTGTGTAACAACAAAACACTGTGGACAGTTTATACAGCCATAGGCATGGTACAAGTGCCATGCACCAACCACAATCAGCCAGAACAGTTTGATCTAGCAATGTTTCTTTCAGTGTGAATGTGGGTTAGAAATCTTACCTTTGCAGTGGACAGCTATGGCTCCTTCTGCGTTCTCACAGATGTTGAGAAATTTCCTGACGATAGAGTCATTCGGTGTACTCCCGTCCACAAAGAACAGGTCATGATGCTCAAAGCCAGAATCAGTAAAACGCCTGGCGTCATACATCTTTTTGTTGAGGCGGATGATAGTGGTGATGCTGTGGTTCCTAAAGTAAGGAATGTAGGCCTCAGGAGCATGCAGAGGATACCCTGAGGTAAAAGAAAAAGTAGTCTGGTGAGTTTCAGAGTGAGTGTCAGAGCAAAGTCAGAAACAATTCTGTGGTGGACTTTTCAATTACCATTCTCTATTTTGCTTTTTGGATGAGGCCCACTGAATGCAAGGAACTTTCCTGGAATGATCCAGTTCAAGTCTCCATTTTCTGCCCTCTCATAGTGCTCATATTCCTCCACATCAAAGTTAGAGAAGTCCAGCCAGCCGTACTGCAGAGCCTGAAAGATGGTTGAAAGGGAGTTAATTTCATTAGTTGCATGACACAGCAAGAAAGAGAAATAAATAAATCTTAAAATGAGCTACCTTATAAACAGCACGAAGGCAATCTAGGATGTTCAGATTGTACATGCAGGTTCCAAACGAAGCATCTCTGTGAAACATAAATTATATGTCCATCTTTATCAGCACAACATACTAAAGATCAATTTTTTCTTATTAAAAAAAAAATCTTCTGGCCAGAATGCAGATTGCTATCTCATTTCTAATACTCTCAATTGCTTTTTATCTCCCTCACTGGTCTTGTTCTATAGCTTAACACTTCTCTTACTTTTTTTTTTTTTACCATTTTATAATCACAGAGAGAGTAAGAGAACAGAAGGGCCCTTGAGCATTCTAGGTCTTGTAATCTTGAAACCATATCCTTGTGTTGCACTTGTGTCTGAACAACAGGGGAAAACGAACATTGTTGCAAAGTTAAAACATTGCAAAAAAGCAGATGCAGCAATCTTTCACCAACAACTCTTCTTAAAGGTTTATTGTATCTTTTTTACTCAGTTTTACAATATAATCCATATGTGATGCTTTTTAGCTTGTTTTACCATATATGCTAATCACATCAGTTTGCTCTTAGAATGACTGATTGGTCATTCACTGAGCAGTCTAGCAAGCTACTTTGTGTTTTTAAAAGTAAGTTACTATTAACTATTTGCCTTTGCAAATGGCCTTTAAAAATCAAAACGTGTGATTGACCAATGTAAATAATGATATTGTCTTCAGCCACGGTTGTGGCTCACCCTTAGTTCCTTGGAAAAGAACAAGTTAAATGTGAAATATATATGGTGAATTGGTACCTGAATGGCATGTATGTTGAATTCCTTGACACCAGCAGACTGTAGGCCTCCTCTGGCATCATGTTTAGGTGCATTACCTTCAAATACAAACATCTAATCAGCAAGTGGCTCTTGTATTAAATGCTAATGCAATTTCAATCTGTGATTATCAGATTTATATAGATGCAATATAATTTCTCAAGCTTTATGTAATGTGGTTTGTACACTACTTACAGCATATGAGCCTATTAGGTAGGCAGCATTGGCTTGTTTCTTTTGGTCTCCACAGGTGTAAAATATTATCTTCTTCCTTGAGAGTGTAATGGACTGTGGAAATATTATAAATAACAAACAGTTTGAGCTGACATGTGATGCCTTATTTATATAATATATAATATATAACATAACAAGTAGATATTACATGAGCACATCTACTTTATTTTATTAGTTGTTTTTCCACCCTGGCTATGTCACACTAAACATGGTATTTTTTGGCTGCACGGCTGCAGGGGTAAGAGAACCTACAGTGATGGAGGAAAATTTAAATTGTAAATGGAAGTGGAATTCAACTCTTAAATGACTTGATTAGGAAACTGCTACATGGTGAAAGCCAATCAACAGAATTTGTAAGCTAAGAAAAAGGTTGGGCAATCACCACATAAGACAATTATGTTCTAGAGCTGTGGAGAGGCTGAATCATCTGTGTCCAAGCTTCAGCTGCCAAATCTGTGCCCAACAGCCTTCGAGATCACGTCATGTGCCAAATCCAGACAAACTGCCTCGACAAACAGGAAAAGTTGCGACACAACTTGTGTTGATACAAGTTGATACAAACAAAGATTATTTGGAAAATAAATTTGACTCTAAAAAGTTGTCAGGTCCTGCTAATTGACATGCAAAAAACTACAACCCTATTTAATTTTGCCAACCTACTGCAGGTTGTAGTAGATATTGATTAACCTGGGTTTGCTTCTCATTCTCTTTTCCGGGAAGTGCAATTCAGAGCAGTGGTTTACTTTACCTTGAGCTTCTTTGTCAGCTTGCAACAGAAGCGATAAAACATAGCCAGGTTAAGGGGACCAAAGTCCGCATAGAAGCTGAGAGAGAGACAAAAAAGAAGAAATAGTGTGTCAGAGTGGCTATTTATGCAACCAGCTATGGTCTCTCGGGAAGTTTCGCTAGATAGAATCGGCTACCTCAGACTGACACAGTAAAAACACTGACAGAGTAAAGACTATATTTGGAAGCATTTGATGCTGGAGTGGGTCAGAACAGGACAAAAGGAGCTAAAGACAAGAGGTCTTTTTTTTGTACCACTGGCACAAAAAATGACTTGGAAAGGTCAGTAATGTTCTCTCCTGCGGCCTGTCTCAGAACAGCTCACTACAACCTCTGAAACGGCAACTGCAGCTGTGGTGCTTTTTTTGTTTTATTTACCTTTAATTTTTAATGTTGTTGTGGTTACTTAGGTTTCTTCCAACAGTAAAAAGGGCAGTGCACCAAAATATCCTTAAATCTCATATACTAAAATAACCAATCTGAATATACTGCGTAAGTTCACACTAATGGCTTCTGCACTCAAAGCTAAACCGAGATTCACTGTATTTTGAATTAGTTATGTGCAAGCCTGCTGGCACAAGCACTAATGGTGGAGATCTTTTAGATGACTGCGGTGAAAACACAAGGTTTGGGTAGTGTCTTTTACTGCATGCAAGTAAGTGCAACTGAAAGGCACAAAAAACAACGCAATAACCAGCAAACTAAGTCTGTCGAAAATGCAAAGTTGGGACTAATAACTTACTTCTCATAGGCCAGCTCTTCATCTATGCAGAAACAGTGTCTTTCAGCTGTGCTCTTGATCTTCTGCTGAAGTATGGCGAAATATAGTTGATCTGGATGGGGTGGGGGGAGGTGGGGGCAAAATAGTGAAGTTACTTGCTTTTGTCATGCATATATACTTCTGTTGTCTCTTTTGTCCCAAACCAGCTCCTCTTTGTCGACAACTACTTCTTGTAAGTATTTTCTGGCAACTTACCTTTGATGAACTCGATACATCTTGGCGAAACATCGTCCGCGGTCATCTTGCCCACAGATTTGAACATGACGTTTTACAGAGAAATGTACGTACGTGGTTGATTTTCTTCACAACGACTTGTGCATACTGAGTAAAACCCACACTAATGATGTGAGCGGAGAAAATTAGTTGAAAGTTGTAATTTAAAAGTCTAACGTTAAAAAGAAAGCGTTTTTAAAAGCGTGGCCTCGCTATTCAAGGAGAAGAAAGTTACCAGTCGAAGAGGAGGGAAGGAGACTTTCGTGTGCAAGTGCGCACTCTGCTAAAAATGATCTCTGCTTGACTCCTCCCCCAAGATGTTCCGCGGGACGCTATTGGCTGTGAGCGATGCAGAACGCTACACAATTGGAGGAATGAGCTGTCAGTCACGGCTCCTTCAGTTTAAAGTTCTCAACATAAGACACATGATAGGCCCCGGGAACATTGCCCAAGCGGTTGCTAGGACGATCCCTCAGCCAGTCAAATTCGTGATTTCCACTTCGACTGACCTCCCTCCCCTTGGACTTAGGCTCCTCAAGGATGTTCAAGAACCAGGAAAACGCCGCAAAAGACATAAAAATCAATGTTAGACGAGACTGACAATGGGTCGACTACGACATTTATGACATTCATGCACCAGTCAATCTCAGTATGCACATCTGTAACTCACACGCAGTCCCTAAAACAAGGCAAAGCGAAGTTCTGTTGTAATTTTGACCCCCAAAAAAATACCAGAGCAAAACTGAACTGCTAATATTGTGTATTCTATGCAGAGACTGTGAAGGTAAGTCGACGTAAACCCAGTGCATTAACGATAAAGGGACAGACGGTGTCGCCATATTAGGGCAAAAGATGAAAAAAAATCAAAGACTTTAACACACCCTGGTCACTCAAAACAGAATTGTGTGCATACGCAGCCTGCTTTGTCACATTTGTCAACTAGGCTTAAAGTTGACAGGGTTCATTCTACAGCACCTCTTACCTGTTATCTCAATGTAAATATCAGAATTTAGCTCCGCCTCTGAGCTGTTGTGGGCTGCACAGCGCTTTTTCCTCGACTCGGCTCGTCTTCTCTCGCTCTTGCGCTTCATTTTCTCTTCAGGGCTTCACGGTGGACATTACTGAACAGCTGCAGCAGACCTCCTCCGCTTCGCAGTGCGGCGGCTTTACTGTCCCCGTTTTGTTGCCGTGTTATTATGGCATGGCTTGCTCCAGCGCTGCTGATCTTCTGTATCTGTGCATCTGCGTGTGTGTATATTGTGTATGTGTCAACCGAGACACAGTTGCCTGCTCCAGCCTCTCTGGTGGTGGTGACGTCTGTGAACAGGGGCAGGTTTCTGCTTTCTGAATCCCCTGCATGTGACGTATCAGGATTAGATGTCCTGTGCCCACCCTTCACTGTTCAATAGCAGCAGCAGCAGCAGCAGCAGCAGCAGCAGCAGCTGTACAATATGTTGGGATCCCATTTGGATATAACTGTGCTATGACAGTGCACAAATGCATGGCAATGCATAGAAATACAGCCAAGAAATAGCAATTAAACTTTATTTACAGTATAATAAACTCTTTGTAAATTAGGAAGGGGTTTATAAAAAGAGGAGTGTGATAAGGCCAGACTACTAACAGTGCACCAGTGTTCATCACGATTAAAACACTACCATCTTACTGCAAGTATACCAACAGAATTAGATAAAATAAGACATTGTAACATGAGGATAGAAAAGGTAGTAAACAAAACATGACAAAAAACAGCAGTGCATGCATACCCATCTTGTTTTTCGGCAAAGAAAAATCTTGCCTCAATGACCACTTAGCTTTTAATCACATCTTACAGTCTTCATTAGCAGTATGAGTTTGCTGAGCCCACTTAATAGCTTTTTCCATAGCTTTGAGCTTCAAAAAGTTAGTAAGGAGACTTGGAGTTAAGATTTTTTTTAACAGTTGTTATCAAGATCAAGAATGAAGTTTCACACTAAACAAAGACATGAGGTTTTTTCACTCTCAGGTCTCATTTTATTGAGTTATAATGTGACTGTTGTAATGATGTGTGTTTTCACATAGTTATGTGACACCTATCATTTTGGACAGCTCTCTCTTGTAAAAAAAAAAGAAAAGAAAATGTATCTCAAGAGACTTCCTGGTTAAAAAAAGCTTAAATTAAATAAATAAAACATTCAGACCTATGCAAGATTTTAGCAAGGCAGTCAAGTTGTGTGCCAGCACAGAAATGATAAACAATGTACTCAGAGATACCGGGACACAAATATTTGTTACTGATAATGATGCCTCCCCTCTTCTTGTTGCAATTTGTCAGTGCACAGTGTATAATGGAACTAAACATGCAACATTTGTACACCTCTGCATGTGTAATAACAACAGTGATGTGGGGCAAAGCACTTTCAGGCAATCAGATGGCTATACATGTATGATCTTTGGCTTATCGCTGAAGTTCAGAGTCTGTTGAACTCCAGCCAGCTGCAGGAGCCAGGCAATGGGCATGTGGTCCAGGCGGTTCATGTCAAAATGGGAGAAATGAACTTGAGAGCCTGCAGAAAGAAGAAAGAGTGAGGGAGAAAAAGAGAAGGATCTAACACAATGGACAGAAAGAGAGAAATTGAGATTGATAATTTGCAGAGTTAGAGAGAAAGAGAGTCAGGAAAACTTGCCTGGCCCTGCAATGATGGCTCCACCTTGCTGATGTAGATCACCCTGAAAGTCGAATGCAGGGCTAGTCATTGCTCGCCATATACTCTTCATTTGGCCCATAAAAACACCAGACTTCACATGGGGACTAGGGTTTGCTGAGTACATAAACATACACACACATGCAATTGTTAATTAATTACCACCTTGGGACACATTGACTCATACTGCCTTCACACTGTTATTGCATTACCAGAGTCTGTAAATTTCTCCTCTCTCTTCATCCCAAGCTTTTGATAAATGCACCTCTCTGGGTCCACGTATATCTCATAGTGATAGCCCGTCAGGGAGCAGAATGGCTACAGGAGAGATAAGAGACACATCTCAGCTGCATGTAGTGTGTGTAAATTCAAATTCAAGTTTGTTTGTTATTAATTAGTAATACAGCTGAATGGGTTTTGTTTCTCTTTTAAGACTGAACAACAAAACATAACAATGTATAGGTAGGTATATTAAAAAACCTGAGAGGCAAAAAAATATCCATGAATCATAATAAAATGTGCAGTTACACCACATCACAATTGAAAACTGATTTAACATTACAGAAATCTATGGGACACTGTGGTATTATGCACACTGATCATAAAGTAATTACCTCTATATGATGATGAGCAGACTGACCAATCACAATCAGTCTAATGTCAGCATCCTGCAACAACACATCAAATTTTGGATTGATCAGAATCAATAATTTTCGATTGATACAGTATCACTTATGATTTGCTTGTTGTGATTGACTGCAGTGCATTCCTAGTCATGGTTCAGTATTTACCTCCAGTGCTTCTCTGGGTACTTTGGTCAAATCATCCACATATTCTTTGCAGCTGTAGCACAAGAAATTCTGCAGGGACATTAAGTATATATTATGTTAACAGGTGTTCGCAGTATGATATATTCATTACTTTTTCACACTCTCATCTTGCACCTATATAATGTTTAGCTTTCTGTCTTCACCTATAGATATGATCTCTCCATTCTTCCATTTTCCACCATAGCATGGGAAGTTGTTGGGGCATCTGTCCAGCAAGGCTGAGGCTCACCTGTTGCCTACTTTGATGCCTTCAAAAGAAACATCTTTTGAAGCTCATTCTAATTATCTTAAACCTCTCATGATTTTACGAATGCAACTTCTGGCAGGATATGGCCTACAACTCATCATCAGTAAGGTTAAGCCAAACAAAAATTTTCCCCTACCCGCACGAAAATTATGACCGACTTCCTGTCTTGATATAACTTCTTGAAAGGAATAGACAGTCCATGCCGGTCGTAAATTAAACAGTCTTCGACATCTTCAAGACGAATATCGACGGAAGAAATCCGATTTCCCCGATTTTCTTTAGTAACTTGTCGAGTTATTGGTGAAACTACTTCAGCCATTTTTTCTGAGGCTTCCCGAATTCGCACTGCTATTTTGGGAGTTGCCGTTCAGACTGGAGGAGCTGCATGGTGGCTGGAAATTCACGCCCATATTTTGTGTGTATGTGTGTGTGTATGAGGGAGAGAGGGAGTGAGAGAGAGGGAGGAAGGGGCGGGGGGCTGTCACCGTAATTGAGTAGGAAAGAAATACATATAGTCAGTTGTTAATGACTATATTATGCAGAAAACAAAAACTGGCATCACTGGGCGTGTACAGCAGCAACCACAGCTCTGTGTAGTTTCGAATGCAGGCCTAACCATTCTTCTGTCAGTTCAAGGTGACATAACCCTGTATGTTGATATCATCAAGGTTATTTTTCAAATTTATTCTGCTTTAAGTTGACAGTTTATTAGGTACATCTAGCTAAAGGTAATGCAGTCCAGTAAAGCATTCTATTATTATTATTATTATTATTATTATTTTTAACATTTCTATCATTTTGTTCACCCCATTTATATCAATGAAGATAGGATAAATAGCAGAAACATCTCTGTATAATGCCATACAGAGCAGCAGCACCACAAACTAGGCCTAAACCCCCCCCCCCCCGAAAATGATCATACATTGAATCAACTATCAACAACAATTTCAATAAAAACTGATCATTATTACCTTCAATGGACTAAGACAAATACAACTGACTTTAAGTCTATTAGTCTGCATTAATAATACTGGCTACGTGTACCTTATAAACTGCCAACTGAGTGTATTTTAATGCTAAAACTTTTGTACTTTTACGTACAGGTAACATTATCGCAAACTAAGACATATGAAGTAAGAATGCAGGACTTGTAGTTGCAACAGAGTATTTACATGAGCTAAGTTATGGTATTGATACTTTTATCTAAGTAAAAGAACTGCGTATTTTTTCCACTATTATTCAAGCCACAGTTACTTCAGGCTTCATTTCTCCTTCTAGGCCCTACAGCTGCAGGTTCTCCCAGCACCCATGACGAATTACGAATCGCCCTAGTCGGCTTCCTTCCCGCTGCTGTCTCGGTGCGGAAGTGTTGTCCTCCAGAGCAGAGCAGCAGCAGCAGCAGCAGCTGCAGAGCTACGCTAGTTCAGTAGCAAGGTTTCTTGCGTCCGCGTCTCTCCTGCCGGGACTTGTCAGCGCTCATTCCGACCGTGCAGCATAGCAGTATTATGCGAGCACCGTCCGGAGTGTGGGAGCACCGTGTGAAGTGGTGAGAGATGTTTTATGTTCGAGCTACAGCTAACTTAGCATCTAGTGATGGAGCAAGCTAGCCTGTCAGAAAGCTGACCTGGCTTAGCAACGGGAACCGTGTCTTTTTTCCTCCAAGTGGGCTGTAAATATGTTGTTAAGTTGGAACAAATGTACACATAAACTTGTCGCCATTTCAGGCAATACACAGCCGTCACGTTCAGACTGCTTTGTGTGTGTGTCTGTATGCTAAACAAGTGACCACCTGTTCACTGTTTACATCTTTGTGTTTTCATTCGGCAGCAGCCAGACGATGCATCGCTGCTGTTTCCTTGATAGACTATTGTAATACAATTTCCATAACAAATCTACTGTTTTGTATTCTACCGTAGGTAATCAAATTAGGATGATAATATGCGACAAGTAATGTGTTGACAACACAAAATAATACAAGTCAACTGGTTTCGAGTGAGGGTTAAACACGGCTATAACTACTTTGTTGTGTGCTGTACTGTAGATTTGATGATGCACTTTATTTTCCCAGAGGGAAACTGATCAACAGTGTATTCTCAATGATGAAGTATAAAAACAAGTAGCAAGCAATCTTAGACATAGTCCACATGTTTGACACCAACAGTAAACAATATACAACACTATACACTTCACACCAAAGAGGCTGGATTAGGTTGCCCAGAGGTGATTAGTTACAAATGTGTGTTACTTGAACCACTAAACTGCCCCCGTCTTGTTGTACCTTAATGTGTTAATCGGACCAGGCACAGCACTGTCCTGCTGAGTCAATATGAGAAATCAGTGTTTGTATAAATACAGCACAGAAATATACAAATTACTATGTGCAACATAAACAGCTGTTCTGCCATAAGTGCTAAAAGATAGATAGATAGATAGATAGATAGATAGATAGATAGATAGATAAATAAGTAGATAGATAGATACTTTATTTATCCCCTAGGGAAAATTAAAGTAGAAGCTTCATGCACAAGATTAACTTTTGCAAGAGAATATGTGCACCAGCCCCCCAGTGCTGCAACTCATGCTTGTATGTAATAGGGTGCAAAAGCTGATGGGATAAAGGAATGCCTTGTTCTGTTACTCTTGCCACCAAGAGTCAACCTGATGGTAGGGCCTGAAGCAGCATGAACATTGGGTATTGTGTATAAAGTAGCAAATTATGAGTTTTTGAGAGGGCACTGGCTCTGTAAGTGTCACAGAGACTGAATACCAACTTTTTTGCTGGCAATATTCACAGCTTTGCTGAGTAAATTCTTCTGGACAACATTAGCAGTAAGATACCAACAGAGGATGTAGAATGTCATGACACTCTCAATAACAGATGTACAGGTTTAGGATTCACACTCATGATGTGATTGCTTTTTACAAACAAGTACAGCATTTCATTGTGATACCAAGCTAAGATGTTGCTGTGCACTCTGGTAATGTGAACTACATGGGGAGAAGAGTGTAATGATAGTGTTGGCCAGCATCAGTCTATTTTCAGCATCATATATATTCCCAGCTGTTTCAGTATATATAGATCTATCTTAATTGTCCTTGACACTTAAAGGATAGGTCCACATTTTTTCAGGTCTGTCTTAATACTCAATGTCATAATGTACAGTACTGTGCAAAAGTTTTAAGGGGCTTTAAAAAGCTCAAATAAGATGCATTGAGTACATTTAAGACAGCACCAATTCTCCTAGGTACACTTGTGTCCTGTTTGTCAAGGTACTTGGCAGGCAGGATGTTCCAAGCATCTTGGAGAACTTGCCACAGGTCCCTTCATGTGATCCCAGACTGACTCCATGATGTTGAGATCAGGACTCTGCGGTGGCCCTCATCTGTTACTGGATTCTTCTGGTCACTGAAGATAGTTCTTTATTACTCTGGCTGTATCTTTTGGGTTGTTGTCATGCTGCAAAATGAATTTTGGACTGGTCAGACGTCTGCCTGTTGGTATTGCTTGATGGATAAGAATCTAAACTGTAAAGGTTTTTCCTGTCAATATGGACCATGGACTCTTTCTATTGTGATTCCAATATAAGGGATAGGGGAAAATATCCACAGTATTTTCTCTGTGCAAAAATGCTTTCTGAAGTTTAGCTGAAGATATTATAGGACTTCAGCAGTTTGAGTTAGGCTAATCAAGTTGCTACCCTCTGAACTTACAGTGTTTTTAGTATGAAAATCCCTCTTTGTGACACTATCCCTCCAAATCAGCAAAATTACTCTGTATGGGGAAACACAAAGATAGACCTTGCTTCGCCTCAAGAGCAGCAAGGGAGAGTGATGAAAAATATGATTATCTTTTTGTATTTGGATATACACAATGACTTGACTGTTTCCTAAGTTATTGATGCAGTTCCCTTCTTTTAAGGATGTATTTACTGATGCATATACTCTGTTTGTTTTAGAGTTTCCGTGAATCATCTATATGGGCCATCTTCTCTCGAAAAATGGTTACCGCCTGAAGAAGAGGCCACGCAAATTACATCACAGGAAGAAGAAGAAGAGGAACTGTTTCCTTCAGGGGCCTTGTATGCTGTGCTTCATTGTCCACAGCAACAGCAGCAGTCTTGACGACGACAACAACCATTTGGAGGCTGGTGTCAACGGCAGCGGGTGCCGTCATAACAGCGTCACTGGAATCAGTGTCCCCGGTGTGGGTGGTGTTGGCATTGGAGCAGTAGCTGCCTCGAAGCTTGCCGAACGATACGCGACACTCACGTCTCCTGAGGACTGCTCCAAGTTCCTGTTGTCACCAAGGGAGCTATCTATCTGGGAAGGCCAGGGGAGGAGCCTATTATCAGCTGTTCCTGCCAAGCTGATTCCACCACCAGCGCTGTTTCGAACTGCTGGGGTGTCTGTGACCGTACCCATACCTGTGCCTGTGCCTGGCTGTACCAGCGACTACACTGAGATGGTAGGGTGCTAAGGTGGTGCTTCACCAACTATACCAAATGTTGTAGCTGGTGAAGATACAGCCATGATTTACCAGTGCTTGCCAGTTCTAAGTTTACTAATAAGTAGTCATAGAATTCAGACTGATCAGTTATTTTTCTGCAAAAATCTATCTTTCCCCAGATGAATGCTGTCATGTAGAAGGATCTCTTAAATTCTTATTAATGACCAAATAATATTTGGGACAATTATGATGCCACTGACACCATTTCGAGCAATGACTAATGGCTAATGGATCATTACCTCGAAAGACCATTAAAAGCTATCAATTGGGTAAAATGTGTTTGTTGACCAAGACCTTACCTCATGAAGGCAGCCCAGCTATTTATAATAATACGTATTAAAAAAAAATGATGATTTTGCTCAGGATAAGTGGTGGAAAACTCAACTGATTACCACTTGTACTCACTCTCCTAGTGTCAGTGTTAAGCTGTACCAAAGTAAAATAAATATGCAATTGTGTAAGAGCACACAGGAATCTTCTAGGAGTAGCTCATCCCATAATTCAGTCATGATTTACTAACTCTTGTGTCAGCTTAACTGAAACCTCTGAATACAGAACAAGTTTACTTTCTGTCAAATAAGGGGTTGCTTCTTTTTACGGTACAGATGAAAAAAAAAATCTGAAATACTTTATTGCTCTGTCCAACAAATTCTAAGTGTTCCAAATGTAAGGATTACACAGGGTCTCCAACTGCAGTCACAAGTCAAAGCTTCACATTTTGTGTCTTTGTCTTATTTTGTTTTCATTAACGATCCAGGGTCAGGGCTGCTGTTTTTTTAATTGATGCTTCATAACATGGGTGATGCAAGGTTATTTCACGCTGTAATTGTAATTTAAGACTTTACAGTCAAATCTGCCTTGACTTGCCTGAAGGAGCTTTCTCTCCACTTGACTGATCTGTGTATGTCCTTGGGTGCAGGTGTGTAAGAGGAAGTGCTCAGAGGTGCAGAGGTGCACCCCCTGTAAGCAGCCACGCTGTGCCTTCGCTGCCCCTGATGGAGGGCTGGAGAATGGAGGAGTGGGAGGAGGCGGAGGAGAGGCTGCCTCGAACTCTGAAACTGGCCACTGCCACCTTCCCCTCTGTCCGCTTCCCTCGTCCTCCTCCTCTTCTTCCTCTGCCTCCTCCTCTTCCTCCTCACCTGCTGATGGCTGCTGCGGGTTGGGTCTTCATGCAGATTTGCCCCACAGTTCGGACTCATCCCCCTGCTGCCTGCATCATTATGACGAATGCCAGGCTAGAAGTTCTGATGCTGCTGATCACCTAAGCATCAATCACCTGCCTTCCTCCATCCTTCTTAAGGTTAGAGTTTTCTTTGTGTTTATATTTACTGATGTTTTTCTGTTGGTTTTTCTACATTGAAATATGAAGCCAGAGCTAAGTGCTGTACTAAGTTTGTTATTGTGTTTTTCACAAATGAGCTACACCACCATAATTGTTGTTGAATGGTTCCTCTATGTGTCTAATATCTTCTTTTGCATCCTTGCAGGTGCTCTCCCATTTGACAGTGAAGGAGCGCTGTCTGTGTGCCTCTCTGGTTTGTAAGTACTGGAGGGACCTCTGCTTGGACTTCCAGTTCTGGAAGCAAATCGACCTCAGTGGCCTACAACAAGTGAGCATATAGCATAATAGATTTGTCTTAGATTCTATTGTCTTCAGTTGTTCAGTGAACAGGAGAGGCTTTAGTGTCTTTCCAACAGGATGGATAACTGTTTCTGGGATCAAAAGCTTTGTTGTTTTGACTGACTTTCATGTGTCCTTGTGTTATCCTGTTCCCCAGGTAAACGACGATCTCCTGGTCAAAATAGCCTCTCGGAGGCAGAATGTGACAGAGATTAACATCTCAGATTGCAGAGGGGTCCATGACCATGGTGTGTCCTCCCTGGCCTCTCATTGTCCTGGCCTGCAGAAGTATACAGCGTACCGCTGCAAGCAGTTAGGTGACATGTCCCTGTCGGCCTTGGCTACACACTGCCCTCTGCTGGTGAAGGTGCATGTGGGCAACCAGGACAAATTAACAGACGACGCTCTAAAAAAGGTATACACAAGAGATCCAAAGCCTCTTGTTTCAAAGTCTAGATTTTTGCTTGTCTGTCATACATCAGTCTCATTTGTTCTTTTTATTCCCAAATAAAAATTGAAGTAATAATCCAATAAAATGATTCAGGTGAAGTTTTCCAGTATTTAATCTTAATCTCTCCTTTCCACCTTCAGCTGGGAGAGCACTGCAGTGAGCTGAAGGACATCCACTTGGGTCAGTGCTACAGTGTCACAGATGAAGGCATGGTGGCTTTGGCTAGAGGATGCCCTAAACTGCAGAGACTCTACTTGCAAGAGAACAAACTGGTCAGTCCAGCACCTCTGGTCTCATATTCATTGTCGTGCTTTTTCTCCCTGCTTGCCTTAGGGCTTCTGCTCGTGCAGGAGCCCAATTGTCTGTTGTTCTCTGTTTGGCAATTTCCATATCCATAGCTACTACATGGTAAGAGCTACTACTAACATTCTGGGTTTATAGGAATATTGTCAGACCACTGTGGCCCGCCAGGCTACATCTGCATTAAAATACAGATATACTTATTTTAGTTTATCCTCTTTGAATCAGCTGTTTTTGAGAACTGTTCTTCTGCTCTTCTTCTTTTTACTCACTCTTGCTTTGGCAGACAAATGCATGCAACTGCCTCAAGAAATTCTTCATCATAGTTTGATTGATAGTCGGCACACATAAACAATCATGGTACAAGGTAAAATCCTTGATTCAAATGTAATACGAAAGGTTGCCCCTTCCCAAAATTCAATTTTAACCTAGTATCAATTGAAAATTGAGTAACTTTAAGATATTCAATTATGATCACTGGGCAAGAAACAGCCAACAGCCACAGGTTACCTGTGTGATGATCTGATCAGATCTTGGAGGTCTGTACATTTTCAGTTTAATCATTTATTGCAACTCATTAATGTATGAAAATGTGATGCCTTAATAAGTTTAATAACATCTACTCTTGTTTTATACATTATCAACATGGCATGAAATTTCAAATTTCTTTTAACTGAAACAAGCAGGTACTGAAGAGTGACAGGCTACTTTAAACCACCACTAGATGTCACCGTTTTCCAATTTCTAAAACCAGCCTGCCAGCTGCTTTCTTTTTGTAGGCCACAGCTTGTTGATACTAATGCTGAGTTGAGCATTTCTCCACCAAATCACAGCTGTATATCTTCTTTAACTGTATTTACTGCTGGATTCTGATAAATAGTCATTTGGCAAGTCTGCCTGGAACCTCCTATTATTTAGATCTTATCTTTTCACTAATGCTTTTGCCCTTTCTCCTGCTAATATTTCTTTGCAGCCCATGAGTAATTATGACCTTGATGAATTACTCCGCTTTAAGTTGTTAACAATAGCTGAGTTTGTTAAAGCCCCATTCATCAACTTAATAGTATATGAAATTAGCATTTACCACTAGTTGAGAGATTAATATTGCTGCTGATAACATTTCAGCGCCACAGTATCAATTTCAGTCGTCTTTAAGAGGTGAGATCGTCACAGTTATTTTAGCTTCCTGTCATTAGGGTGGAGAGAAATGGGCTGAGCTTATATGGGAATTGTTATGTCTAGGTGCTCTGGTTGCTTGGCCTAAAATTGTCATTAAGTTCTCCAGGAATTAAGACGACCCAGAAACACTTACATATCATTTCTCAGAGGCCATTTATTTTCTCTGACAGCTTGAAAAACTCTCTCCTTCAATTTCCTAGAAAAAGAAATCAGATTTTGTTGCTTCCTCGGAAAATGTTTGTAATTACAGTCTCCAGATGAGTTTGGTTCAATATACAGGCACCATGAGTCAAAAAAATGTGCATGACCACCAATGCTGTTTTTTTATATTTTGATTTTGTACAGGCTGTTGGCTTTAATGCAGTAACTATAGATATTATGTCACATATGAGGAATTCATTTGGTGATTCAACCACTTGTACTTTGAGGATCTTATTTCACTCTGGCTCAGCTGTTCATAGACAAACTGAAAAGGTCTGAACTTGAAACAGTGTGGAATAAGTATTTTCTGAAAAGGTTTATGCAAAAACTGAATGGTTGATCACTTCTGGGACCATTGTGTGGGCTCAACCCTTGTTCTCTACATGAATTGATCCAGGGAACAGCATTGAAATGGGCTTTTCAGTTTTCAGTGTGCTATGAATTGCACAGTCATGGGACACTACAGTGAAAGCCTCTTAAAGGCTATATTGTATAAGGCCTCTCCTCTCCTCTCCTCTCCTCTCCTCTCCTCTCCTCTCCTCTCTACTCTACTCTCTTCTTGTTTTCTCTCCTCTCCTCTCTGCTGCCTTTTGTGGTACAAGGATCCTGTCTCTGTCTCTCCTAATCGGTCACAGATGAGGATGAGCCTTTCACTCACTCCGATCTGCCCTCTCTTTCTCCTCCTTCTCCAAAATTGAATAATTGAATCGCTGCAGGATTTTTCTGTGTGGTCTTTCACTCGCCCTCTCCCTTTTTCTTTGCCATGTGCACACCCACATTCATTTTTTCTGTCTTTCCTTGCCTTCTTCTTGTCGTGGTTGTGGTTTCAGTTCCATGCTGGAGGGTTTTTTTCTCTGTGTTAAGTCCATATCCAGCTCTGTAAATGGTTAAATAGCTTTTTTTTGGAGGGAAGGGGGAGCAGACCCTCTGAATAACCTTGTGTACCCTGCAGGAAATATTTAAACACTACTAGCACTAATAATATTAGTAGCAATTCTGCCAATGTTGCTCTGTTTTTGTGTCCTTTGTCAGTATCCTTCAATTTTAGGCCACAACATTCTAAATCATGGTTTTTAGTTAACTGAGGAAAAGTTCAGGAACTTTTTGGAGACTTGGAGCGCAGTGGAGATATGTCTGGTGTCCTGCTATGATGCTAGATGTGCAACTGTGAAATTTCCTACTTTTCCTTTAACTGAAAAAGACATACTTAAAAGGTAATGCAGAAATTCTTGTCATAATTATCATCTTGAAGGGCACACCAGATATTTTTCTCAACAAATGATAGATAAAAGTTTTTAGTGCAACGCTGAAGATGTCTCCAACTCTGACTAGTGTCTTCAAATTTTGTTTACAGGTGACAAATTGATGCTTGCTCTTTCATTGCTTATTAGCCCGGGGCCATATCAGCCCAGGGCAACGAATAACCCTGGGCTAAGTGTGTTGTGTGAAAAGCAGGTGACTCTGGTGTCTCTGTACCCGACTCCTTTTGACATCTACCCTGCATTCTTTATTGCCGTTCATCTAGTATTTATGCCAGAGTTGGTTATATTGCACCAGTTGCCTTTCAAGGCTTGTTTTCATTTTCTGAAGTCTTTTTTTCCCCTCTTCCCCCATTCATATTCTGCTCTCTTCCACCACCTCGAAGGGCAAAGGCTCTGAGAATAGCAAATTCCCCTTTTCCTCATCTCACTTCAATTTGCCGTAGGGGGGAGAGGCAGCCCTGAAAGTTTAACTCTCAGTTCTGTCAGTTTCATAGGCCAACTGGTGGACGAACTATAAGCTGCAAAAACCTCTTGTCACCTGTCTTTCCATGTTGGTAACTTTGCTTGAATGTTCCTCTCAATTAAACACACGTCGCAATCTGCATAAATTTTTGCGAGTGAAGCATTTTTCTTCACTTTTCTTCTCTTCCTCTCTCTTAAGAAAAAAAACTTTATCTGCTCTCCTGTCTTGTTAAAATCAAAGAGTGTGCACTTAATTTCCCAGCAGTGTGATGGGAAGATTCTTCCACTGGCTCATCTCAAAGACATTTTGTCTGCCTACGCACTCTCTCTCTCTTTCTCCCTCACACACACACACACACTCACACACACACACAGACACAGACACATACACACATAGGCTCTGATTATTTACAGTTTTAATTAGTCCAAAATGTGGAAATGTAAGTGGAACTTGGAGATGACCTAACATAGATTAGCATGTGCCCTCAATTTAGATGTAATTACCACTCTGCATGTACAATCAGAGCTTCCCTCCCAAGCTTTCACCACGTTTTCCAGCTCTCTCACTTCGGCGTTGGGAATGGAAGGGACGTGTTTGTCTGAGGACCAACATGAAACACTGAGAAAGACGAACTGTCAATGTGAATGGTGTTTCTTGGCCATCGGTCAGTGAAGGAGGCCTCATCTCCTGCTCTGACTGGCTGTCTGTCTAGCTTGTCAGTGGTCGGGTTTTTGCTGGCAGGGGGAATGACAGCGAGGCTGCACCGGCCCAATCAGGCATAATCACACAATGAATTGTATATTGACATTAGCAGATTTAATTAGCTGGATTAGATGGAGAGCAAAGACAAAGGAAGTGATAATGATAGCTGTCAGTTATTATGGGATAGACCTTTTGACACAAGCCAACACACACACACACACACTCACACTCTAAAACACACAGAGGCCTAGTTAAAACACTGAGACAAGCAACATACACACTGGAGCAGCTGAACTGAATGGCTGCCAGCTGCACTGGAATCTCCTCTGGAAACTTTGTTCATATATTTGACTGTAATTAGAGATAAACAGAACCACACTGACCGGCCACACAAACATACAACTACACACACACACACACACACATTTCACACAAACGGTGCATTGTCCATCTTCTCTACAAGATCTCCCCCAATCCCCCGTGGTCTTTATAGACAGGAGTTTAGACTTAACAGGATGTTGAATGTCAGATGTTGTATGATGTATTTAGTCAGTTTAACTGCTAATGGCGGTGGATTATGTCTGTCAGAGTGAGGAAAAGCTCCGCTCTCATCCAAAATTTCCATGCTTTCATGTCATCAAGAAGTCTCTTTAGTTTTCTCTCTCTCTCTCTTTTTTGTCTTTCGCTCTCTTTGTCTGTCTGTCTCTGTGGATTTGGGAGGTAGCCATGTGTAGGTAAGGTCAAGATGGAATTTACTGTGTAGAGCTGTGGAGATATTGTCAGCTTATGTGTCTGTTTATGTCATGTCATGCCAAGGAGAATACCCAATAATCCTGAATCTGCCCTCCTCTGCTTTTTCTATTTATTTTTCCCCACAAAATATTTTTCCTTCATTTCAAAATGTTTTATTCCTTACGTTCCCCTTTATTTCACTATACATCTCTGGATCTGTTGTTGTAATTTTCCTTATGAAATGTGAAATGTTGGTGCTACGGGCCATACCTTGGTTAGACCCAAAACAAATAGTTGATTAATCACTTAATCAATCAACCACTAGTTGTGCTGGAGAGCAATGTTTTTATGAGCGGGCCCCTGTTTTGTTGCACGATGGGGTGCGATTAACAGCTTGTCCTGGTTTTACTCTCTTCCATTGTTCAACAGTTGG